TTCTCTTTTTTTTCCTCTTTATTTTTTGTTCAAAAAAAAAAAAAGAAGGAAAAATGAAACGGGAAGACACATGAAAAGGTTTCATTCACGTGTCACGACGGATTTCTCCAAACGTTTTCGTTTAATTGATCTCTCATTGGAGATTTTCTTTTCTATTTTGTTTTTCAAAGCTATATGTCTCGTTTACGCTCCAATAAAAAACATGATATTCTCACATTACATTTGCCTTTTATCTTCCTTCATGAACCATTTAGATACAAAAATTATTTTTATGTTAATTATTCACGTGAACTTTAGCGGCACTTCGAAACAGACGACGTCATTTGCAGTGAATAGCATACGAACACATCGGTTGCGCTTTTTTATTCGTTCATCTTCGTTTATTCTCTTCTTCTTCTCAGTAGCATCAGCATCTCTGATATCCTTTGCATTCTGTTCAAAGACATACTTTCTATCCCAGCTTTCTTCTCCTCCCTCCCCTCATAAGTCTCTATTTATCATATTTTTTCACCATTTCATGAAAATATTCTAGAATGTTATCATTTGCATACATCCAAACACGCTCACCAACAGTATCGGAAAGCATAATATTAATTATTCGTTTTGAATTTTAATTGTAATATAACTAATTATTCAATATTTCATTTTATCTCTGAGCAATGATCATGAAAATTAAAAAAAAAAAGAATGAAAGTGACTAGCATGTGAGAGGGCGAAGTGAGCGAGGGTGAGAATAGAGACATCATATGAATATGAGAGAACAAATTAGATACGATGACTGGAGATAAAGCTTACATTTGGTTTACATTCTCCACCCTTTCATTAATCTATCTACCTTCTATGTCTGAACTTTCAAATTATTTATTTCTCATTTAATAATATTATAATTGATTCAATATTTTAAATAATATACAACGATTCACTCATGTTTGCAATTCTTTTTTTTTTCTCATTTTCGTTGGAATCTTTCGCTTGAATTTCTCTTCCAACTTGTTGTTTTTCTCACAACTCTTGCTTTTCTTAGCCAATTTCATCATCCAAAAGCTTCACTAATGAGCCTTTGTATTTTCTAATAATAGCTTTATGTCTCGAAATCCAAAAAAGATTTTGCTGACCATTCGGCTTATCGTGTCAGGACCATTATAATCTCTTAAAATGGTAATTGTTAGTGTGTACCAGATGATATAAATAGATTGGTGGAGGTAAGAAATGCAATAAATTATTTATTTTCTCTATCCATCACCTCCCTCTCTATCTTTCGCTCCCTCTTCCCGAATTCTCTCTCAATAAATGATTTAAATTATAAATTTTCATAATAACAAAAAAAAAGTTTCATTTTCTATTTGAATTTATAAAAATACTTTTTTTTTGAACGATTTTGAAGAGAGCATTGGCCTTGTCCCCAATTCATTCCATTCAACAGGTTCTTCTAACTATGCCTGTTAACTATTCCCCATATTATTAACTTTCATCTAATTCATATCATATAATTTATTTTCGTCTTCTTCTATTTCCGTGCTTGACACTTTGAACACATTTCAAGCTAATCTTACTCAGTGTCCATCTATTCGTTTCAAATGAAAGTTGTCAAATAATCAACATCTTTGCTTTATTTGGACAATTTTTCAATTAGTTTTCAAACAATAAAAGAAATGTCAAAAGCCTCGTTTCTCTGAATTTATTCCTCTCTTCCTTTTTGTAAAATCTTGTCGTTTTCAATATTTTCCCATGAGACATTAGGAGAAGCATGTTCCAAGCATCCGTGCTTTTCATACTCAAAAAAAACATTTCAGTTTAGTTTTCTTAGCTTTTTGCAATATTCAAACTTTCTTTTTTCTCTCTCTATTTATCTCTATTTCTGCCTCTCTCTCTCTCTATTTCCAGATCTCTTACACCCTGTTTTCGTAGAAATCAGGTGAGTAAGCAGTATTGATTGAAACTATCAAATGGCTGTTAATCGGTTATGCTAATTTCATGCGTCTCACGTACCCTCAAAACTCATTTCTATCAATTTGTTGACACGTCAAACGGTTGTTCTCACCTCTCTCTGGATATATTTTCGTTTCATGAAACAATTTCCAGAGTGTTGTGTGTACGTGTGTGTGTGTGTTTTTTTTTCGAATTTTGCCATTAAAATAAGCTGTAAACTTGAATGAAAAGAACTGAAGAGAAAGCTCAAGTGACAACTGTTCGCCTAAGCATTTTTGTCGTCGTCCTCTTACATCATTCATCGCTTTTTGTGAGCAAAATTTTTGTCTTTCATGTGTCCTATGTCTTTGAGCTTTATGAACGAAATGCTGTCAATCACATAATTATTCAATCTCTGAATTTTTGTTAAAATATTTTGTTATTCGATTAATTTTTTTTTATCTCAAAATGCCTGATTTGGTAAACAAAAGATGTACTTATGTACGCAATAATCTGCCCCGTTACATATACGAACCCAGAGAACGGGAGAGCGAGTTGATTTAAGCTGGTTGTTCTGCTAATTTAACCAATTTAGCCTCATAAATTGGAGAGAAACATCATTTAACTTGTTCCTGATCATGATCGGCTTTTTGTCTCTTTTTGGATGTTTTAGAGGACATTGTCGCTCGCAAATTGATCTCTTTGTTCGTTTTTTGATGTGATTTTGCTCTTTTTCAACTTTTTGCTGTGGGAGCATCAGCAAAAAAATTAATAAAAGGTTTCAAAATTGAGTTTTAGTTAGTTTAACGCGCGAAATTGCATCAATTTCCGAATAATTATATGCATCCGATTATGGTTTTGGCATTCTTCCTTATACGGCCTCACTTGGCGACGAATTCTCGTTCGTAAGCTGTTCTATCTACACATTATTATAGATGAAGACGAAGTTTTTTATTCATTTTAATATCGTTATAAGCTTATTATCATATGGATGGCCTTGTCTTTTTCGTTTTTTTCGTTTTTATCCAGTTATTTCTTCTTTTGCATCAACTAATATCCTTTTCTTCTCTTTTCTTACTTTCCAATATTTATTTCGTTTCCATTCGAAACCATTTTCCCCTTTTTTTGTGTCAAAACTTCGTTTTTCTTAAATTCTATTTCAAAACTTGATGTTGTCATTCTTCATTTTCGTTTCTTCGTCTTCTAAAATCCAAATATGGAAAAGGCAAGCAGCCATCAACTGCACTACATCCCCTCTCTCGCAACTCACATGAGCTCCATTACGAGAAAAAAAAAACATAATTTTAACATTTTTTTCCTTTCTTCATCCATCCTCTTTTTGTTTTTCTTGCCGTGCTTATCAACCGGCTTGCATGAATCAGACTTTCTTTGAAAATTCCAAGTATTTTTGTAATTTTTTTCGTCTTTTTTACATGAGTGAAGGTCAAGAGAAAATTGGTTCGATTTAGGTCCATTAACGATTTTATGAGAGACACTTTTGCCTTATTTGGTTATTCCATTGTGCTTTGATCGTCTAAGTCTTCATCGTAACGAAAGCTTTGAAGAAATGCCCAAGTCACGAGCCTGCCTGCCCAACTCATTTGATCCTGATCTTATGAAATGTCCATTTCTCTGCTTCAAAATCTGTGAAGGGCTTGTCTTGTTCTATTCGAGAACTTTATCTGGAAATAATGGGCATTTGAAGATGAGCAATTAAGAGGCTTTTCACAGTTTTTTTCACATTCAACTTCTGTCTTTCTTGCAATTCCAATCGAAAAATCTCTTTATATGCGTTTTCTCCAATTACCTCGTCGTGTCATTCATCTCTCGCCTTCTTATTTTCAGTTGATTTCCCTTTTTTGTGAAAAAAAGAAAATCTCACGAAAATTTTTATGAAAGGTTTCAAAGTAGAAAGCTATTGGAACATTTAGCTTTAGAATTTCATAATAAATTCCCTTTTTGTCATTTTTTCTCATCTGTTTGAACCAACAAAATCCGTTTTTTTTTTCATCCAAATGAATAGGATGCTCGCACAGGAACACATCAGTTGCACAGGAACGCTTTTTGTCATTTTCATTCAGCGTTTAGCGAAGAACGGTTGTTCCAAGCAGCAGCAGCAGCAGCAACACATTTTTTTGATCTTCCAAAACGGATTTTGTTTTGTCTGAAGCTCAACACTAGTTGGAAGTTGTTTTTTTTTTGTTTTAGAGGTTACACATTCGCTTAAACTTCCTTATATTGTCTTGCAATGAAGTTTGATCTGGCGTCAGACTGCATTTTATTTTGTTAGAGAGAAGAAATTGTTTTTATTGTTTTCGCCATCTGAAGTTCCTTATCTTTTTTGAGTTTAGATTAGAATAGATTTTCTAATCCTCATTTCGTTCGTTTTCGCTCTCGTTCCAATATGTACCTGCTCGTTATTTTCTTTTATATTTTATTATTTTCATCATTTAATCCATGCAGGTAAATCATCCTTTTGGCTTGCAGGTTGTGATGCCAACAACCCCTCCTCCAACTAAGCTCGTTTTCCCTCACAGCCTGCTGGCAGGTTATCCGTTTTCTCTCATTTCCCAATTTTTTCTCCTTTTATCTTTCCTAAACTTGAGTTTATACGTTCGTATTACCATAATAGCTTGATACGTTTCCGATCTAGTCGTAGTTCTCATTTTTCTCTCAATTTTCATGGAACATTCAATCATTTTCGATTTGAAATGAACCAATTTTTCTTTTTTCCTCTTCTCTCTCTCTCTCTCTCTCTCTCTCTTTCTCCATCACCTGCATATTCAATGATCTGTTAAAATCATTATGAACTCGAACGTTCTTTGCTTAAAAATCTTCTTTTCTTATTCGATTATCACAGATTTGCATATACTTTCATCATCTCTTCTTTGTATTCTAATTTTCTATCGTTTCGAAACTATTTTTCATTTTTTCAGATTTATAGCTGTGGAATTATTCAAATTTGAACTCTCGTACATCATTTAAATTATTTTCTTGTATATACTGGTACTCACTGATTACGACTTCAAAAAAAAGCTGAAAAGGCCCAAAGGAAGACAATTGAAATACTTGGAAACGAAAAAAATTCAATGATGACAGCAGCTGCTGGTCCCGAACATCATCATCTTCAATGGCCAATTGAGACAACACCATTGGCATCTTCGTCGAGCACGGTGACGTCATCTTCTTCATCATCCTCGTCTTCTTTCCGAACGCCAACATCAACCATTGTTTCAACTTCTTCTGGAGCAGTAGCAATGCGTTTAGGCGACTTGAAGAGAGCTGTTGAAGATGTCATATTGCGACCTGAGCAAAATCCCATTCATAGCATGCAGAAACGTGGCACGATTGCTGCTTTAGACCTTTGCCAAGTGAATTTGAAATTGTTTTTCCCTTTAATTAATTAGTTTTCGTTTCAGTTAGACGCTGTAACCTCTACATGTGATGATACTAATGCTCCGTCGTCATCAGATTCCATGAATGCTTGTTCGTGCTCCTCAGCTATGACTCACAATCTTCGTCAATCGCCTCAATTATGTACCAGCACTAGTCTCGACACTATTGTCAGTTTTTATGTTTATAGCTCTTACAACTATTCCGAACAATAGCTCATGATGATATGTCAAGAAAATATCATATTTAACTCGTTTACCTCAACATGCTTTTTCCAGGTCAATCGTCCTCAACCTTTATATTTTCGACATTCAGCCGGAGTGTCACGTAGACAAAGCAGGGTTCTGGTATTTCCTTCAAAACGAAAACGGAGCAACTCTTTGACTAACTATAATAAAAGGTAGACCACCCATTGATTTCGTTTTTTTTATTTGTTGTTCAGACAAGGTGTTTCTGTTTCTCTTCCTCCATCAGCACGGCAAACTCCTCTTCGATTTGGCGAAGAAAATATTTATCGGTGAGTTCGCTTTTCTGCCACTAATCATTTTCTTTCGTTCCCAGGAATTCGCTTGGTTCGTCTGAATCTCATTCATCTGTCTCTCGTAGCGAAGATTTTTCTCAAGATTTTATGGCCGAAGAAGATGAAACGTTAGCTTGTGGGTCGAAAAGTAAAACTGAGTTTGCTAATCATTTGGTTTTCAGGTGCATCATTGGGATATCCAACAATCGCCACGGGAATAATAGCTCCCGCAACATCACCCGCTCCAAATCCATTCATGGATTTTCGTAATCCCAATCGAGATTATGAAGAAATGGATTGTGATTAAGAGACTAATTATCTTTATATTCAAGCGAACATCGATTTACAAACCTTCAAAAGCTTTCAATCTTTATTAACGACAAACGTTTTGCCATGCTTAATGATATAATAATTAAAAAGTATGATGACGATATCTATATATGGGTATACACTAACTTTAACTCTTCTGACTTTGCCATCACCTACTTTTCTTACTTGTAATTATTCTCTAACATCTATGTGAATCATAATTTTAGTTCAGCTATTGTTTTACCTCAATGGAAGCTCATGAGCTTATGTACCTACGACACACACCTTGTTTCTCCTTTTCTGCCCTCCCCTCCCCTCCATTCACTCCACCGCAATTCAATGAAGCTTATACTTAGCTTTAAACAAAGTGATTTCCATCGACTTTCCGGTATTAACATTCTTTCCCTGCTTATCCCCTCCCCCCATCTCGTGAAAAAATTTTGTAAAGAAAAATTTATTTTTTTTGTGATTTTTCTAGTCGTTTTTCTTGTTTCGTCATGAATGTTTTAATGGAAAAAAGAGAAAACTTGAAATAAAAAGTTCAATAAGAGTTGAGAATTGGGTGAAGCGAGAAATTTACGCATTTCCTGGTACTTCTGTGCAGATGAAGCATTTTTTGGGGGAAAAAAAGTATGCTCAATTGAGCTGAGAAGGCATTCGGCAAAGGAAGTGAGTGGACACATGGCTTATCTGAAGCTTTGATAGACGATTTCAATAGAAATAGAAGATACATGAAGAAGCCAAAGATGACAATGGTGCAAATGATGAGCAATAAGTTCCGTTAAAATTTAATTCTTCTTTTGTTTTATAGCAAAGAAAATGTGAAGTTGAAATTACGGGTTGAAAAAGAAAATATGAAGGACGTTGTTGCTTCTGTTTGAGCTCCAAATGACGTAGAGGATATGGATGTCAGCGTGACAACGATTGAGGGTGGATGAGGAAGAATGAAGTCAAATGAACGCAAATGAAGATGTTTGGCCGGAACTAAAAGAATTGTGACGTCGTTGAGCTAAGGGGGAATTCCATGAACCCAGGGCATAGAAGACAAGGCACGTGGGTTTTAAGCACAGTGACGACGCTAATTAGAATTACACTCAAAAGCCATAATGATGAACAATGAATCTGTTTTGATTCTAGTATTTGTTTATAAGAGGAGCAACTTCCATCTTTATGAACCAGTTGAACTTTAACTTTCAGATAGCTCCCTGCAGTAGAAAATAGAAACATGAGAGATTGAAGGTAAGTAAGAGAGAAAGAGATTGAAGAAGGAATGAAAACTTATAAAGAAAGTGATAAAAGCCAAATGACTTGGCAATAGATAGAAATAATGGAGAGAAGAGAAAAGAACGACACGAAGAAGTGAGAGAGAGTGTATAGTAACCGTTACGTACGTACCTAAATCCCAAATGCGTCAAGTCATACTATGACGCATTACGTGGCGTTTAACCACATTTACGTGGAAATGTTAAGTATGCTAATTTTATCAACAACTTTTATAATATATTCTAGAGTTAATGAAACAGTTAAGATAGGTCAGTTAGTCAATTCACTTGAGTCAGTAGGCGGCATAATTGTTCAAAATTCAATTAATTTGTTCAACCGAAAAAATGATTGAGTTATCTATCGCTTTGTTCTTTTGCCCTCTTCCTTTTTTATCTCATTAACATGCTTACGGCGTCTACAGCCTCTTCATTACGCAATATGTATCAGTAGAATATATCCAAAATCATTTGTAGTTCAGAATTGAAAGTCTAGAAGTAAGATGTATAATGAGCTGAAATGAATCGAAAAAATGAAAACGAGTCATTCCAGATCGTCATTGATCTCAGCCTCCACCCGCTCATGACGTCATTTTTCCTCTTTCTATGTGTTTGAAGCTCAATGAGCTGAAGGCAACAACGACGTGACACAACATATCCATAAGAATCCTAAGGAGGATTGCATCATAGACTGAAAAAATGATTTTAAAAAGGTTTTTGTTGCCAGTCTGATTATTGAAAAGATTTTCCCCTATCGTACTAAGGAACTTTTGCTTTTACAGATTTACGCTACTGTTTTTCCATGCACCCACATGCAACTTGTCGTTTTTAATATTTTATTTTCTTTTTCTTTTCATGCACTCATTTAATTCGATCTCATCATATACTCTTTTCTTTCATCCTCTCTTTTTTTTTCATTTCCTGTAGTGAATAAGGCGTATGAAGAAGAGATGCTTGATCCGTGTGATCTCACGCCCTCACTTTCGTCACAAATCAGGAGACAAATGATTGTTTTGGCGTTCTACTTCGTACCTTTCATACAAAAATTAATTTTTCTGCGCATTTTTTCTTCTTCCGGATAATTCATATTCTCTCTTCAGTTCGCTGTCTTCAATTGTCAGTGGCTCATTCAAGAGCACTCTCTGAGGCTATTCGGTTTCGCTCTATCACCTCATCCCTCACATATCAAAACTCATATGCGAACTCTCCTTTTTGATTCTGTCCACAAGAACGCTTCGCATGAATAGTGTCCTCAAACTATGAGGTAAGAAATGCTGCGATTCGAGGAAAAGCAACCGCTCTTGCACTTTTGAAAAACAAAAATGATCATTATTTTAGTTTCGCCTGAAAGTTACGTGAAATTGAGTCAAAATGAAGTTTTGATCAAAATTTGAATATTCAGATAACAATAATGAGTAATGCGCCTCGTTAAGATATATCTTTTATCATTAATTGTAATCCGTAATTGGATTTCAGTATCGAAATTATAGTTTTGAGTGAAATAGATACTCATTAGCAGATTGAAAATCTTACAGTACCTTTATTTCTTCAAGAAAATGAAGTGACAGAGAGCACGTTGTGTTGGTGACTATTCCCTGACGTTTGTTCATTGAGTTCAAACTATGAACAAAGCTATTGAAAACATCTATTATCCGTTTATTCCAACTTAAATCGTTCAAATATCTTCTTATTTTTATATAAATTACCTAATGAATGGATGTAGTATTGAATAGCTGCTTCGTCATTTTGACGTCAAACCCATTGAAAAGCCTTGGTTGTGTGGATGAAACTTCCAAAATTTTGGAAACTTTTGAGTTAAAAAAAGAATTTTTCCATATTTTAATTTGGAAGATAAATAGATGAATTGATAGATGAAAGCATGTGTATGTGTGTGTGTGTGTGTGTGTGTGAGTGTGTGTGTGCTATGGGTCATTCACGCCCACTCATATTGAAATTTGAAACTCAGCTATGGACAAGTCATAGTTCTACCTGAATTGAATCTAAGCATCATATAGATCAGAAGCATTTAGATTATATTGCGTTAACACTGAATTTATTATGCTCAATTTGCTATTATCGTCTATATGTTTGACCTAAGTTATTTCTATTTTCTTGTACGAGGGCGGTTTCTGCTATTCTGAAGAGGACAGAACGACGCAAGCCAGCAGGTGCTTATCCATCTAACAGCAACATATAAATAGAAATAAAATGTAAAATTAGATTTTTGATTGTTTAAAAAAAAATTCTGCTCATGTATGTACATTGATTCGACACTCACTTACGTCTTCAAATATCTTTTATGAACAGGTGACGACGTACATCTGGGTGGGATACCCACATTTGGTTCTCCGATTTTTATATATAAGAACCCATTTCCATTCTCTCCAATCAAATTGTTTGTAACTCTGTATCAACCTCTCTCTCTCTATGTCATGGCTGTCATCTTCCTTTTCGGCTCCTTACGAAATTATTTTATTCTTTTCTTTTTTCTCTTCTCATTCAAATATTGTAAAAGAAATATTCGCAAGCTTCTCCATGATCTTTTCTTCTACTTCCTCCTACTCCTCTTCGTTTTCTTTTTCTCTTTCTTCCTGATTCATGGAATCGTCCGAAAAAAAACAAGAATATGACCTCACACCAATTAAAGTTATGATATAATTTTTTTGAAAATTTGTTTACAACCAGCTTTTTTGCGAACCCTTCCTGCTCAAGCTAATTAACCACATTGCATTGTCATCTTTTGACTCTCATAATTAGTAACACTATCTCGACTACGTCAACGTACTTGACTTATGTGGCCATGCCTGAAGCAATTTTTTTTCCTTCTTCTCCTCATTTTTGGTTTTGAACAATTGAATAGAAGATTATTCAAGAGCCAAATAATATCTTAGCAAATACGTGAAACTTCGTCGAAGAAACATTATGAGCCTTCGATGTAGCTTCAGAATTCATTTTGATTATATTTGCACCTGGAGAGAAGCCGTTGATGACGAAGTTAAAGAATCATATAGGAGTTGCAGGCTGTTGTTAAACGTCAGACAACCAACTATTTGACACAAATGCTTTGCATTAACAAAAAAAATGAGACAATAAATATGATTATTGCGGAAGATTTTGCTTTCACTTGAGAAGCACGACGGCAACATGGACAACGTGCTCACGACGAGCTCGTTGATGACGTGGCCCCTATCCAAATAACCATTGCCATAATTGCTCCATTATAATGACTTTATTTGTTGAAAGTGTGGGAGTTCATATACTTTGATCTTAATTTTTATGTTTTTTTTATTTATTTGTTTATTATTTTGCCATTGATGCAAATCAGCTGTTAGAAGTAGCTGCTTTAAAACAAGTTTTGCCATTCCGTCTATCTACGCATTAGACTCTCAGACACGTTGAATCTATTTTGGGTTGACAGCATATATCCAACTCAGCTTGTTTCGGAAAATGCGAATGGTTTTTGCATACAGTGAATGGTGATCTACTTCAGCTGCCATCATCAGTTCTTTCCATGTTCATTGGAAGTTGGTACATCATGAAGCTAAACAAAATACCAGCCACTCTTCTATCTTTCTAACTATTTCTCTCTATCTCTTTTGTCTCTCTCTGTCCCTCTTATAATATCTCAACACCTACTTTTTTCTTAATGTAAATATAATTATGAATTTGAACCGTCAAGTAGATCAGCGTAGGAGGATATGAATAACTCCGCCTTCTACTCCCTCCTCCCTTTATTTCTTCTCCTTTTGATATTGTCTTTCCTCTCTATATTTCATATCATCTTTCTTACTTTTTTCACTTCATACTTGCACAACCCACCCAGAAAGTATGTATTTGCACCTCCTCATTGCAATTTAGCAGAAGCCGAGACCATGGCCCGCCCTTTTCTATGAGCGGAAAAAAAATTCGCTCTCGTTCCTTCCCCCCTCCCTCCCATCAGTCCACCTTTCAGAATTCAATTTCTTCATCCCTCAACTTTTCAAAAAGTTGGAGTGGACCTTATCGGCTTACAAGCTCTAATATCAATCATCCTATGGTTTTGAAGTCATTCGTTTTACTCTTATTCACTTTCATTAACAAAATCAACTTCCAATGTATATATATGTAAGCTTGATCCGTATTTCTTGATCTATGATCAATACCGGAAGACTTTCCATAGAGTTGTTCCAACGTTGTTCGAAAGGCAGCAGAGTGTGAAGTCTGTCTTCACACCATATGCCCTAGATTTGGAAGCATACACTTCCGGAATTTAAGCCTTCTCGCCTACACTCTTTTCTGTTCTTTATTGAACTTTAATTTTTTTTGTCAAAACTTTCAAAAACTGTCAAACGACATTCATTTATTGATCATACTTCTCGCATGATATAAATCGAAACACAAAACAATTGTGTATGATTAGCGTTCAGTGCGAGAAGTATGCAACCGGTCTCTGGGTACGTGAAAAATGAAAATGAGATATTCTGCGTTGCCCACAGATCAGCGTAAACGTCTTACACGTGAAAATTAGCATATTGCGAAGGCGGTTTATTCAAATTTATCATAAAACTTATCCATTTTCACCTGTTTTTACAACTGTAACCATTTATATAATATTGAACATACTATATATATATATATACAAATGTATTTATATATATATATATAGACATGACGATAGCTTTATACTTACAAGCATGCATAAGATAAGATATGTTAGACGTTCAAAATTAATTTAACAAAATATACAATATGTAGCTGTTCCATCTAACTTTCCTTTCCTCACTATTTTTTCCACTTCATCGAACATCGCGATGAAATAACTCTTGAGTCGCTTAGATGACGATTTCCTGACGATGTCTGAACTTTCGCACCTTTACCGGTAATGTTCAAGAATTTTGAGTACGACCAATTTAATGAATCAAAACTTCACGTCATTTCTTCGTTTGGAAGTAGTTCTAAGTACGTAAGAATCAGTCTCATTTACACGCTCACTCCGCCTTCTCGAGCACGTTCTGCCCTTAGACAAGCTCGTGGTTTTTGAATTTCATACTATTTCTTTTTACTTATTTCATTTTCATCATCTTTCTCTAATATATGCTTTTTATGAATTGTTTGTTCCTTATTAGACCGTTTACGTAATAGATGAAGGAAAAAATAATAATTTAGTTTTCTTGTTAATTGACATGATTTGTCTGTTCACCCTTCGATGATAAGCAGAAACAATCAGAGGAACTCTGAGAATTATTCAAATAGCTAATAGAAACAATATTATTAAATAAAACAAAAATTAGATCATATTTATATAAACTAGCCAGAGCTATGAAAGATATCAATGACGTTAAACTGAAAATGAGAGGGAGAGACAGATTATCATAGTTCTCCCCCCCCCCCTACCTAATCTAATTGAATGTTGTAGTTCATATTATTCCATTGGTCGCTCTCCTCTCTCTATTATATTGTTTTCAATGATTATCTTTTAATTTTATTTTTTCTTATTCTTATGTATGAACTCTTGATTAACATTTACAAAGTAATTTATCATATATTTCAGCATTCATATCCATGATTGCTCAGATTCTCTAATGTTGTTCTGTCATCATCAGTCATCTGCACACGCGGTAGATCTTTTTTCTCGTTCGGATCTGACGACATTCGCTTCATTTGATAACAATTTGGTAATTTCCTTCTTTCTTTTTTTTCCTGAGAAAAAAAAACAATTATTTTCATATCATAATAAGCAAAAAACACATAAAATACAACAAAGAGATGAGTTGTGAAACAAGCGAGATAGCCTCTTCGGTTAGCTATTTCGTTCATTTGAACGAGGCATCCCTCTGCAGACATATAATTAGAGCTCATCAGTTTGAACGAGCTGATCGGGTGAGGGGGATTGCATTTTTGATAATTCCGGATGTTAAGCCAAAATCTTAAAAACTTGATTTCCACTTTCATTTTATAAAGTTTATTAAAGAACAATTGAATAGTTAATTAATTTTTTTTTGCACAAAATCAATTATGTCATTGTAAATGAAGCAGGAAGATCCTTTACCCGGATATCAACTGAAATGTGAAAATGGCTGTAATGGAGTGTTCTGATGAGATTATCTTATGAGGAAAATCAGTCATAAATTTAATAAATTCATTAAATTCATTACAGCTATCATAATATTTATATTTTGATGTTCCAGAGTTGCGCACTGGCGAACAAATACGAAACAAAGGCAACACACTCTTCCAAATACGTAAGTAGCATTGGAGCATAACTGTCATTAGTCCTATTCAGTCTTATCATCAAGAAGAGGAGAAACGTTCAGCACTTGAAACGATCATGGAAGACTTACTGAGTGGCTTTGATAATTATTCCAATTCCAGTCATAATTCAAGTATCGTTTAGCTCTATCATTGAAAATGAAAAAAAAGCTTTTTTTTAAATTCAATATAAGCCATACGGGAAACTCTCATGTGAACTTTCAATTTACCTACTGCTAAGAATTCTCATGATATAAATAGAGCAGAACAAGGCTCAATCAATCCCATCTAGAACGATTTTGTACTAATTTTTTAAAGTTCTCATTTTGCAGCTCCACAACCATCAATTACCGCCAGTCGTAAATGTTCACAGGATCTTGAAGTAGATCAAGAGCTTGATCAACTTTTCGAAATCATCAGTCAGGTTGGTGTTTGTTCAACTCATTGCCACCCATAGAGTGAAAAAGAAGCAGAAAGTAACTCCACAATATTCCTCTCTGCATAATTACTGAGCATAAATACTGATGACGCAAATTGACGTCGCAGGCGCATGTCGGAAAACTTGATTATTCGAAAAAAACGTTGTTGTTTGAAACTTTTGTCACAAAACTTCCTGAATGGCTATCTCTTCAAATCCTGTAATTATTATATTATTTGAATACATCATTTTCTATTCAAGAGAGTATCAAAGAAAACATATGTTAGTCATGATTCGCTTTTTTTTTCTTCTCATTTGCTGCACTGCTGACCCTTCTTATCTTCTTTCCTATTCTTCTTTATCCTCAAAAAAAAAGCTTTCATTTACTTCTTTCTCAACGAAGAACACAGTTAAGAATGAAAGAGAGCATTGCATTGAAATGCTTACCAAACACAGAGTCTGATTTATCTTCAGCTACCTCGCTCCTGTCCTGTAATGAATAATTTCATTCATTCTTTCACTACTCCTCATACGCTAAATGTCTCATTCATGAAGAGTTTCTTTGATTTCAAAAAAATGAGAAAGACAGTTGAGATGAAGAGTAGAGAGAAACAGAGAGAGAGATAGAGAGTGAGCTCCAGTATTTTATGTTTTCATTTCAAACTTCCATACTCTGATTCCTGTATATGATAACGGCGGTTCTTGAAGTTAGAGAATCTAAAGAAGTGAGAAAGATAGAGAGAGAAAGAGGTAATGAGAAAGAGAGTGACAGAAAGTGGGAGGGGGGAGTATGTCGAATAAGATTGAAAGATCACTTCTGAATATTAGATGTTAAGCAGTCAAAAACCTCATATGTGTCTATAGAAGTTATGATGAGTGAGTGTCCGATGAAGAGACATGAGCGTATGGAAAAGCACAGTCAGCTATCCTCATTTTGATTTGATGACACAGGATGTGCTTTTGCATTCATTTTTTGGTCGAATCTATTTCATTTCCTTTGATTTCTTTTTCTTAAAGCCAGCAGTATGGCATCGTTTTTGTATATTTTAAATAGTTTCCATTTAATCTTTGCCTTAAAAGGTAAGACAATGTGATTCATAGATACGTAACCGACCTGTTAACCATCTTCTTTTACTTGAGTTGAAGAAAAAAATGCGAACGAATGGTTAGTAGCACTGACTAAGTGACTTGATGTACTCATACTTCTCCTAAAAGGTTACTTTAATGTTTTTTGTCGGTTTCTTCATATTCATCATCACTTCTTCTATTACGGTATTTGGTCGTTTTTTTTTTCTGTTCCTCAATTCGGTTTTTGCGTTATTCATGACCCACTGCCTTACATGGTAATGTATCTTTCTCCTACACATGAATGTACTGATCTCATCATCTTCATTCCATTCGCTCATCTTACTAATAAGCTTGTTTTCTATTCAAATATCAAATGTTATTATCTGAAGATAATGTCAAAAAATACTTTTCGTCACTTGAAAACCTTTTTTTATTCAAAAATTCGTTTGATTTAAAGAGTTTAATTGGATTGCCATTTGTACTTTGTATGTCAACTATCAGGATGGCAAATATCAATCCACCCATACACCTTCAAGCTCTCAGATAGTATGTATCAACCGTTAGAAACCATCTTTACCATTCTGAATATCATATTTTGAAGTCAATGAAGACGTTAGCTAATATACATCTTTGCTATCATACTCATTAGATAACAGAATGTCCCTTCCCTTCTCATACCAAGATCTGCCAATTAGTTTTGAATAGTCTATAAGCTGCTTCAACTTATCAGCTGATAATATTTGCAAAATCAAAGAAAATAACTTCCCGAAACGAAATCCATCCATCGCTAACAGCAACGCATATGTCTCCCTCTGGGTGTGTGTGTGGGGTGTGTAGGCATGATTTGTATGAGAAGCTTACACTGAAGCATTAATAAGTTTTTATTTTATTCTAAATAAATCCTTTCTTTTTGATAACTATTTATAAGATTTATAGACAGAGACACATCCACGCAAAAGATATTTCGTTTTCTCACTCTTCAACTTGTATATGATGCCATTGTAATGATTGAAGTATTGAGTTAATCCCTATTCCGTAATCTTCATATCTTCGTCGTTTTTCTATTCTCTGCATCAGACAATCGTTTGTGCTTCTCTTTCTCTTATTATTACCTGAATTCCATCATATTATTCTTCTCTTGCATTAGCTTTTCTCCCCCCAGTTTCTTAATATAAATACTAATCTTATCGTTCTCCGCCCCAAATCGTCTCTCTCTCTTCATTTTCATTTCGACTCACATAAACTGATAGTCAAAATCAAATACTTATATATCCAAATTCAGGAAAGATGACATAAAAAAGCTACAAAAACTTCATCTCTTTCTCTTTCCCTCTCTTTCTCTTGTAAGCGAATCTTCTTCTCTTTCTCTCTCTCTTTCTTCCTCTATCCTTTACCTTGTCATTATTCCAGCCAACCTCTTTCCTGCTTTTCCTAATATTATTAGTCTTTTATAAATATTCCTAAATGGTATTTTGCAGCTATTGTCTTATACTTTCTTTAGTTTTCGTTTACCATCTCCTATGGCGCTTGGAGACACAAATGTCATGTTCTTTCAACTTTAAAGCTTTCCGATTCATTTGCATTTTTTTCATTTTTCCTCATACGAATTTCGATTAGCTAGCAAAAGGTTAATAATCAGCTTATCTAACCTTTTTACGCCCTAATTCACCTCCATTCTTACTTTAACTTTCACATTCAAGCAGAGTTTAACAAATTCAATTTCACATCTGTCGGAATATGGCGTGAGATACTGTGATACTCTGTAACTTGCGCAGTTTGTGCGAACTTTCTTCGTACAACACGTGATGCTTGCCTCTCCTACGAACGATCTTTGGAAAAATAAACAAAACGGATTTCATAGATGTATAACTCATCGATATAGATTCTATTTTGGTCAATCTAATGAACTCCATGACATTAAGCTATCAATTATTATCTTCGGCAACTTTTCTCAGATCTCATAGCATAAATACCAATGGTACTCAATTCTCTTTTTACTTCCTTCTCCCTCTCTTTCTCTCTCACTCCCTCTCTCTCTCTCTCTACTTTTCAAACTCTAATTCAGGTTTGAAATTTTTTTTGAATCTCTCATTATAACATTCTTTGCTCACGTCTCCTCCCATTGACCGTATGCAAATTTCACGTAAAGCATTGCGACAGTTTGTTTCATTTATATTTTTACCACGTCAAAGAACGGTTGCTATTCATTATCGCTCATCTTATCGTTTTTACATCAATGGACTTGAGTTTTTCATTTTCTCTACCATGTTTGTCTACGTTCATCCTATAAATCTCATTTTCTTCAACAACTACCGTATACCAGGACAATACTGAGTTTTTCCATATCATACTGACGGTTACGTCATACAAGCACTGGATCTGTTTTGCTTTCTCTTATTTTTGATATTTCATCTAAATATAGAAGATAGTATGAGAAGTACGGTGTTTCCATATACAATTCCATGATTTTTGATGAGAAGATGCTTAGTCTATCACTATCACAACTATTACGTTTACAGATGTTTTTATAAAAACAAAACAATGAAAAGACATAATCCACTTTCCGTAATCTCAGAATTTTTTAATACATAAGCTCTCTACTCTTGCCTCCTTCTTCTTCTTCTTCTGCTTCTTCAACATCTTCCTTTATCACTTTGTAAACTGTCTATTAATGATGATCATATTATAGCAAAGCGAGGATCTACAGTCCACTGTCTCATCGCCAGCTGTTACATCCATAGCCAGCAATTCGGACTCCAGTAATTCGACATTCCCTTTTCGATCACGAGCTGCAACTACTTCATCTGTAACACTACCACCACCTAATAACACCCAAAATCTACCAAATAATCGAAAAATGGATCATAGCCTCGATGTTCATATCAAAAGTGAACCATTCTCACCCTTAGGGCGGTCACAGCAACCGTATGATTTCATCCATCCTGGATGGTCTAATCAAATGAATATCATGGGGTAAGCAGATTCAGTGGTTTTGAAAATTAATTTCTTGTTATAGTTTGAACTCAAATATTCCTTGTGACTTCATGAATCATCAGGCCATCATGCAGAATCAAGCTGTCTTCCATCATCCTGGGTTCTTCTATCCAACACCAAGTCCGCATTTTCCAGTCATTGATAGACGCAACACCCAAGTCACGAATAGGTAATATAAATTAATTAATATAAATTATTAATTCTGAATTCTAATGCTAATGTACTTCAGTACGCCTGCAGCTAATCATACCGATTCTCCGTCACCACACCTTGACCAGCCGGCATTTACAACTCCGCTATTCCGATTCAGGTATGAATTTTCAAATTAACTAAACTCATCCTACCTGACATGAGATAATACAAAAACATTACTAAACATACCGTAACCGCGTTTTTTTTTCTCTGGAAAATGTTCGATTCCTTATTCGTAATGCATTCAAGGTTACGTCATCATATTGGATATCATTGATGACAAACTCGTACTGAAATTGGCTGTCTAATAAAATGAATAATTTGAATTTGAAAATATGATAGTTAAAATGAGTATTGAAAGTGAGACGTCAAGACGGACGTTCAGTGCGAATGCACGTAACACAATGAGAAATCAAAACAAAATCAAACTATGCAGAAACAAATTACCTTTTTAGCATGCTTAACAGTCCGGAATTCCACAATATACCATCTTTGCCATCTACTGAGCCGCTTGAGGAAGACGCTGAGAAACTTTGTGCTGTATGCAATGATCGTGCGGTTTGTCTTCATTATGGAGCACGAACATGTGAAGGATGCAAGGGTTTCTTTAAAGTAGTTGCATTCTGCTTTTCGATCCATCATGCAGCATGTTTCAGCGAACTGTCCAGAAAAAATCAAAGTATGTATGTGCCGGGAATCGGAACTGTCCAATCGACAAGAGATATAGAAGTCGATGCCAGTTCTGTCGTTTCCAGAAATGTTTGGCTGTTGGGATGGTCAAAGAAAGTGAGTAAGAATTCGAAAGCAAAAACGAAAATCGAATAGTCCTGATATAAATGAGAATGTGTTTGCAGTTGTACGTCATGGAAGTTTATCTGGACGTCGCGGAAGATTGTCATCGAAAACAAAATCAAATCATCGTACTGATGATCAGCCTTCCCCTCCCTTGCCTCTGTTGGGTTTGCTCGTACGAGCCAGCGAAGTATCAAAGCCCAGTATCCAGAACTCTTCTATCTTTGTATGTTTCGTATCTATTATACTAAATACCACCACGTTTTTCAGCCTTCTCTCTCCTCTTCTCAACTTCTATCATTAATCGACACTGAATATCATCATATCAGTTCTTTCTTGCGTGGCATTCCTATAACGGCTGAGTTGAATTCTAAGGACTTAGAAAGTTTATTTGTTCGCTCTTTCTTCCCAATACTGGCAGCTAGACTCTGTCAAAGGTATTTGTTTGTTGTTTTTATTACAAAATAACACTGGAGGCTTTTTTAGAATGAATCGTGGACGAGAAACAATTGTTTTTGAATCTGGTGAACAAATACCGTTGGAAGGTATACCGGATGTCTTACTACGATTTTTCCGAGCAGTTGTACTTGAGGTATCAGAGTGTTTACATTATCCTCACCAAAAAAATCCTATTATAGTCCGCTAGTCTTCAAGCTACCATTGAAGGAGATCAACAAAGTTTTTGTGCTCTTCAAGCAATGATCTTTCTGTCTGCGCACACTAGAGGTATTTTACTTATTCAATGGCTCAATCCAGATGTTTGATTTTTCAGAAAATCCAGCGAGAGAATTAAATGACATCGTGACAGTAGATCGTCTTCAAAGCATGGTCGTCAATGCTCTTAAAGATCATTGCGCCTCCACAGCTCCAAATAAATTGGCTAAAATTATGCAACATGTATGTGACAATTCATAAGTTCGTTATGAAGAATAATAATTTTATAGATTTCAAAAATGGATTTCTTCTATGAGCTCGGTATCAACATGCTCGATCAATGTGTTGCTGTTAACCAGCTTATTCCTCTCTCTCTTCAAACTATTCACAACTCTTGTCCTCGCCCAAATTTAGGCTTGAATTCAGGAAATAACGTACTCAATGTTTCGCCAAATATTATACCAAGTCGAATTTCTTTAAATTCATCAGCTATTCCCGATATTCCTGTTGGCTTCGGCTTTTCCTGAGACCCTCCTCGTTTGATCTCATAAGCATGTTCGAGTATCTTCTTTTGACACTGATCTTCACATCTGATTGTTTTTTAGTTTTCGAATCAAAATCATACAGTATATAATTATTCGAATTCGAATGTATGATCCCATATACATATTATATATACATTTATAGGTTCTTCAAGTTGAAAAGGGTTTCTTGTCACCAATGCTTTGCGAATCTTATCATTTTACTTTATTTTTCTTTTCTGAAATATCACCGTCATAATCAAATTCCATCATAATCATTGCATTCTTTCCACCATTTTCTCATAATTTAATAATTTTGTGAAATTAAAAAAAAAATATTCTTTACTTATCCTTCAGCGTAAAACGCCGCCTCACTTTCCGCGTTTAACTGACTCAGGGGCGTTTAAAGACCGTTTTTCTCGATTATTGGCTCTTTGCCCAATTCTTGGTTTCAATCAATATTGTTTCAACTCAACAGTTATATATTAGCTTTTATGCATCCCTGAGAAGATATAGATCAAGATAGATTCTGAATCTGTTTAATTGTCTTTTTCATGTCAATGAATAGTTTTATATATATATTGAGTATTTCAACAGAAGATTATTCTGAACTTTATTAGGAAATTTCATATACAAATATATATTTATATATATATAAGTAGATAGATGAAGCCAGAGGAGAGACTTACTATCCATGTGTCTATTCTTAGACATCAAACTGAAACAAATTATTGAATGGATAAATAATACTGTCTGCACGTACTGCTTCTATGATCGAAGTTGACACCATAGAATCCATAGCGAGAATATACTGTGACTACCATTGTACTACCATCAGATACTAATACCTTGCCAACATCATCGGAACAGCAGTTACTTGAAAAATAATCTTATTATAATTGATATCGGCTTTACTACTGACCGTATGCCGGATAGACGGTTATCAGCATTGACTTTAACTTCGAGACCGCCGTATGAACAGCTGATAGCACAAAGATTCATACCAGTGAAAGCGGTAATTGTTAATTCTACTTTCTTTCCTGCTGGAGCCTATAACCATTGACGAAGCTACTATCAAGGTATCACTGCAAGCTTACTCTTATCCAAACATTCTTCACTTTATAATCAGAATCGATGGAAGGCGTGATTCCAGATAGCGAAACTGAGCTGGATGTTATAGTTGTTGTTGTGCTGATGGCAACATGGTCGCTAACTGGAGTAGAGTAAGGCTAGAAATACTTTTATGTTAAGAATGCAACCCTTCTGTACGATGTGGGAGTTATTCTTTTGGAATTAGACGACTATTATTTTCAAAAAAAAAACATTTCTTTTCATTGTCTAACTCCAAAAAGTTGATAAGACTTTCCCTTCTTATATTTTTTACGTTATAAAATGGTTGAGGTGAAGTACATATTGTGCCGCCATAGCCGGATGGACAAATACATCTATTGCAGTTGTTCGGATCCGGAAATCCATTGTTACGACAATTATTAGTACTGGATGAGCATTTGCCTGACAGGAGATAGCTTATACATGAAAGTTGGTTGTAAAAACAAACTTTGGCATGAATACATTGTGTTCATCATAAAAACATCAATAAACGATGGCATTGTTTGTCCCATAGAATTTTGATACCTGGGATCGGTAGGTACCAGCGTGGGTACTGTTCCGTTTTTAGCAAACCTTAGAGGAGAGTTTGTAACCTTTTCGATTATTTAGAGGAAGTACCCGTATTGATCATAATGCATTCCACTTCCATAATCATAAGGAAGTCCATAGTTATTATTTTCAACAGAAGACAGCTTCAAGTAGTTGGGGAAATAAGTCGGCTGAAAAATTTGACTGAACTTTTCATTACCGTAATCTGCTTACTAATATATTGTCATAGTTGACAATAATTTGATTATCACGATCAAATCTGTTCTGAGAATGGAAGAAACCAAGAGCATGAGCTATTTCATGAGCAGCAATTGGCACCTTTAATAACTTGCTCATTATTCTCTAACTAAGAGGGAAATGGAATCTTGATTAATACTGACATGCTCGCAACCGAATCCAATTGAAATTCCTTGCATTCCCCCATCTAATGGCTTCCCTACACCGGCGAAGCAACCGGCACCGCCGAAGAAATGTAATCTGGAATATTAATCAATTTCCTATCGTTCTTTCTATGAGTACGAGCCTCGAAACTGCAGTTGGTCTTTCCCGGAAACGAATGCAGGTATGATTCTGCCAGAATGAAATAGCTTTTAGAATTGCAGATCGACCGGCAGTGCCTACGAGCAAAGAACGTGCTCATAAAAAGTTGAACGTTAAAATACTTACTAACATTACCGATTTCGTAATCGATTGTTGTATCCCAGAGTGTTCTAGGTTGATAAAGAGTGTAGGCCTGACGTTTCTGTCTGGACCTAGTATCCTCGAAAATAGAATCGATCACTTCGCTAAAACGGGAGAAATTGTTAACTTTCTCTCCATCAAGAAATACTCTTCAATTATCATATCTCCCTGGTACATCAAGCCAGCTGTTGCGTATTGAGAATTAATTTCATGAGGAGTATCACCGTAAAGAGCAAAGCGGTCAGGCTTACGTCGATTAAGCTTAAAAACATCGTATTCGCTCAAGTCGAACAACAGTTCTGTATTTTCGATCAAATCAGAGCGATAGCCAGGAACATACTACAAAGCGAAACTTAGAGCTGAACATAATGAAAGCCAGTGTCAACTTAGAGGAGTGCTTATCGTCGAGCTATTTCGATCTTTGATTGTTTTTTTTCAACTTACAGATAGAATAGAATTCATGGTGTTACGTTTTTGAATTGTTAAAGGATTAGGCAAGTTGATTTCCTTCAATTTGTTTTGAAATAAGTCGGGAGACGTCTTACGAAAGATCTGCAAAAAAAATAATCCTGTGCAACAATTGGAGGACGTCATACTGATGTCATATCAGCCAGCTTTGTAGTAATTCTCGCATCTAATTTAGGTAGACCATCTGCTGATATGAAATTCCCCAAAGGACTCGGACGCAATAAATTATCCGAGGCTTTCAAAGTGTTTGTTCTGGAATCGTCTCTCATATTCACATTGTGAGAAGTAAAACTTACAGCACTGCGGCAGCCGAAAGCGGATAGATACATGCTGACAGTAGTATAACAATTTTCAGCATTATTGTCAATCAAACTTCCGAAACTCAGTGACTGAATTCTCAATGTACCATTTTTTTCAATTCCTTATATAGTTATGCTCTCAAATCGTATTCAGTTATAAGCTTATTATGTTTTGAACTGCATCGGGAACATACTGTCTGGAATAACAAAACAGGAAAAGAAATAACAAAAAGCTGATTATGTATACTTGATGTAAGCAAATTTCTATTTTGCTCACCTCTTGTTTATTCAACATCCCCCGTTAAAGCATTATTGTCGGATTTTTTTTTGAAACATCCAAACTTTGCTCTGTTTATCAGACCAACCTTAACACTTTTTGTTTTCATTGAAATAAACATCTGTTTTACCTTGTTTGTTTTGAATTAGATAGACTTTCAAATTACTGTCAAAGAACCAAAATGTGTATTCAACCATACTACATAGACATGTCACGAAAATGAACGCGGCAATTTCACGCCACGTAATTTTCCACGTTGTAATTCAGATAAAATGATTAAGATTTAAGTAATCTTCAGAATGCATGTGTTATTCGAAATGCGCGGGAAAAGCTGGTCAGCTTTTTACTCTCCACTCCCGCTCTTTTTAGTACGTAAATTAATTTGTAACTAATTTCACCTTATTATTTTGATTATTGAAACCCTTAAGCTTCACGCATTGTTTTATCAAGCTTTCTTATAGAGGTTCTCATGGATAAGGGTAAAAGTTTTGGTTTTAATGGTCGACAATCCTTACTGGCGCAATCGAATTTAAAAACACCTACTCGTCAAAGATTTTCAGCAGCGCAAACAGCAGAGTCGAAGTTTACTATACATATAACAGATTGGAGTACATAATATTTTTTCTCAGAAAAGAAGGCAGGTTCTCATTGAGCGGAGTTAATGGAGGAAATGGAAACAGGCGATTGTCTTTATTCAAAACCCAAACAGCGGCTCCACGAGTAAGTTATGTTATACTAACAAGATTGTCCTTTTTGTTCTAGGTTGATACTAGTGACAAGTTAAAACAACAAGGCTATATCAGGAAAATCGTCGAATACATCACCGATTTGGAGGGGGAAGTTGAGAACTCGTTCCGGTACAATATGTCATTAAGTTGTTCTATAGGGTATTGCTACTCCAGCCAATGTTGCTCGTCCAACAATGACTGACTTCATTAAGTTCGTGAACTTGATATATGAAGATCTAAGTCCAGATTATACCCTAGAGGGTAAGAAGATAGTTGAAGAGGTTTTTTTTATTTCTTAGATTTGTATAACTGTGGATTACATGGTAGGTCCCCCGCTTTTTCGCTGCTCTTGGGTATCCTTACCCTATCAAGCATAGTTATTTACAACCAATTGGCGCTGCTCACAACTGGCATTATCTTCTTCATGCCTTGTGCTGGATGATTGATCTGAACAAAGTAGGACCATATCCCTTTTCATTGATTTCATGCATTTTTTAATTATAGTTAGTGGAAAGTGTACATAGTGTTGAAGGTATTATTTTGAGTAATGATGCCACGGATTGTAATACTGCTGCTGTAGGTTGTACCCCTTTTCTTCCTAATTTCAAATTGTTTCAGATTCGTTACTCTTGGTTCCAGTCTATGTTTGGAGAACACTTAGCGTCTAAAGGTGATGAATCCGTTACAAGAGGTAGGACGAACAATGAATGATGTTGCCAGTTACGAATGAATAATTCAGGAGCCATTTCGAGATTAAAAGATTTTTTTGAGAACCAGGAAAATTATAGAGAGCGTTTGGATATGATGATGGAAGAGTGGAATAACTTGAAGAAAGAAAACAACGAATATGATAATGAGGTTGATCTGAATTTGTAATAATTCCATTTCTCTTTTGAGAAAGAAGACGGATTAGATCTAGAGCAGGAGATTGGCAACCTCATAGAGGATGTGCACAAAGCGAAGAGATCATGTGACAATTTAAAAAACGATTATGAAAACTTGGAAAGAGTAGTGGTAGGATTTTAAGTTGACCCATTATTTCCAACTAATGTTTGAGGCATCTGTGAAACATTCTGTCGACGGAGTAAAATCTGAAGCATCCGAGCTTCTCAAGTGTTTACAAGATAAAAAGGAAGAATTAATGCTTATAGAAAAAAAAACCGGCATAAATACTGAAGAAGTTCTTCGAATGAAAACGGAAATGGAAACCGTATGCTTTCTGTTGAGACACCCATTGCATAGATATATTACAGAATAACCAAGTTCATAAGCAGATGAGAGAAGAGTTAGGTCGCTGTGGAGCCGAAATATATGGTTTCCAATCGCAATACGCTCAAGGTTTTTCACAAGTAATTACCCCTTGTTTTCCTCTTACCATCTTGTGATAGTTGCTGTCTCGATTGACAGATTTCATCTGGAAGCTGAATGATTTTCAACGTAAAACCTCGGAGAACATGGATGAAATTGACATCGCTCCCAATTCTTTAGAGTAATTTTAACCGTTCGAGAATGTTTTGTAATTTAATTCAGAGAATTGCAGCATTTTGTCACCAAGGAGCTACGCGGAATCATTACTAGGGTATATATTTCCATGGATGATATGAAAAACAAGAGAATCGCAGATATTGAAACTATTAAAAGCCAGATAGCAACCCTTGAGTAGTTTCTCTTTTCATTTCTCTTTTAATGACTTCTTATGTTGTGTAGAGCCCAATTGGAAGAAGAGAACGAAAAAGAGGCTGATGTCAGGAGGATATTAAAACGGAAGCAGATTAACAAAGAGAGATGTATTGAGGATAGAGCCAAAGAGAGACAATATATTTATTCTAAAATTGGTTGGAGGAACATCCGGTTGAAAACAAAATAATAAAGTTTTCAGTTGAATGTGAAAACGAAAAAGAAACTCTTGAAAACATCTTTCGGAACGCTACAGGAGTCTGCTTGGTAATTAAGTATAAGCATTTGCGAAAGTGTGCACCTTTCTAGAAATTAGAAGATTCCTCAAGAGAGTTGGAACGAATGAAGGAGTGTGCGAGAGTGTTCAAACTAACTTTTGAAGATACGATGATAACGAATACCCAGAAAGTAACATCCGTTCTCGAAGCACAACAGGTTGTTATTCCCTTCAAGATGATATTATGGCTATTTTAGGAAGTCACGAACACTTGCGAGAAAAGGATGTGGGATATCTGTGAATACTTTAATCAAATTATGAAGAGCCTCTCTTATGGAGAACCTTTATGAACTTCTGTGAATGCGAAGCATGGGCATGTAATAATTTCATAATTTTTTATTTTAATGTTATCAGAGAGCGTAAGTTTCAAACAACACTCAATTTGTCAAAACTGTTGTACTACTTACTCGAACGTTATAAATATTTCTAGTTTGTTTCTGTGGTATTTCGAATATGTATTAATAACATTTCTTATTTATCTCATCAATTTTTTTTTCAATCTGGGATTAGTAAGCCAAGGGATTGTTGTTTTTGGTTTATGGTTCTAAATGCAAAACGAGTATGTTAGTATTACCGAGTCTCTTCTTGCTACCGGATGTATTGATTTCACGGGAATTATATCTTGAGTAATAACTTTACTGGGAAAATGAGTTTAAATACTACTAGTTGATTCTCATACACATTGGAGGATATTAAGTTTTAATTTGGCGTGTTAAACAGTTCCACGTGGAAAGTTAGGTCAATGTTCTCTTTCATGGTTATAGCTAGCGGGCGAACAGTTGTTTGGCTTTTTACTATTCGTGGGAAGAAAATAATGATGTGTACAGTTCGAGCACATAAGGATACTAAACATTCTGTGAAACTTTAATAGCGTCAACTAGTTTTTAATCACTTTTCTGTGATTCGTCGTTCGCTGAGAGATTTCGTTATCTTAACTTACTCTATTCGTGCAGCTTCATCGTTCATGCAATTAACGTTTTTCCAATTATTGGGCTTAGTGTTTATGAACTTTACTAAACATGATTATTTGCAGTTTGAAATACACATGTTTAACGATATAGGAACTATTGAAAGGTAAAGTGATATCATCTATGTAATTATTTTTTTCTTTGGAGTGCTGAAAAATATGAGACTCAATCAAGTACCTGCTTCAAAAAAATTGATATTCACCATGTTTGGAACATCGGTAGTTTTAGTACGCAGCTGAAACTGCATAAACCAGGAAAATCCCTGAACAGTGTGTAAGAGAAGTTTAGATGTAAAAATATTGTGTTTATATGGAACAGGCGCTTTGGTAACGAGGAGTATGAATTTGAAATGATGTTGTATCCTTGTGGTACAACATCAGCTGCATCCGACCATGTAGGTGTGCATCTGTATACACGAAGTAATAAGATTAGACTTGCACACATATTCATATTCCTACTTTAAGAATGCCCCGGCGACTCTTTGATTATATCCACTCAGTACCGGATCATACCTGGTGTGGGCTCTTTAACCTGTGCCATCCAGAATAGCATTATGACTATTGATAAATCGTCCATTCTTTCTGCCAGCAGATTAGTTTCTCATAAAGACATACAGGTAGTTCCACGAATTTGTCTCCAATTCTCTTTTTTAGAATTCAACTGAACTCTTGCTGCCAAACGATGTGCTGACGTTGAAAGCAGAAATAAGTGTTTATAAAATAGTTTGAGCTATTGAGGGTTTTCTCGTGAAGTTTAATTGGTTTCAGACATCGAATTATAATGTAAAGGTCAATAATGCACGAGGCGCTAGCGAAGCACGAAGAGGTGGTTGAGGGCAAATTAAAGAGAAATTTAATTGGAGTTCCAGCCTGTTTTGGAGAATTATATGAAACTGGCAAATTCTCTGACTTCACAATTCGCACTGACCAACAATCGTTCAAAGTTCATCGCCTGATTCTTGATACTCAATCGGAGTTCTTCAATGGATATTTCCGTAATGATCCTTTATCAAACGAAGTCAGTGGTTCTTTTTAAGCCATAATTGATTTGAATTAGATTGCGTTAGATATGGATAATAACATCATGAACCTCATTTTAAAATTCATGTATTCTGAAGAAATGGAACTTGAAGATATAAGTCCTGAATTATTTTATGCTGCAGACAGGTAGAAACTTCCGCTATTAAGGTCAAATCTAACACGTTTTCTCCCGCCAGATTGCTCATGCATTCTTTGATAGATCTTTGTGCTATCAATGTGAGGAATATAATTAATCTTGAGAATTTCTTCGACTATTTGAGACTCGGGTATGATATAGAAAATAAGCTTGTTCGCGATGCAGCTGCATCATTCTTCATAAAAAATGCACATGATGTCAAAAACAACAGCGTAAGTGTTGAGAAAATATGTTGCTTTTTTTAGTCTCGATGTTTAGAATTGGTCAGAGTTTATGAAAACTACCCCTCAAGCTATTGCAGACTTATGCGATTTAACCATGGATAAAGCAAATAAAGTTTTAAGAAGTTAACTATCCCTAACAATATATTTACACTTGTTAAAATCTGTTCAACCCTCTGTGAATGTTTCGAACTGTGAATGGTATTCATAATAGTTACTTGCCTCTTTCAATTTAATAAATGTTTCTGTTGTAATGTTGTCTTCAATATTCAAAGAATTTCATAGTGTATTGGAGAATATTAAACGAGCCGAGCATTAAAAGATCACTCTAGAAATGTTGCAGACGAAATAGTGTGGGTAGAGAAAATTGGTCCCGTCGCGATAAGGCGGGGTGCTGTAGTAAATGACGTCAAATATTCGAGAAGGCAGAAATTGATTTTATCTTCGATGATTGTTTCTTTGGCACTTGTTATGGCAAATTCATACTTTTTCTTTCTCCTTGTCTTATTGAACGGTCCTCTTGAGCACCGACTGTTAAAAATCCTTTTTTTACTTTTGACGTGTGCCGGGCACTTGTGTATGCGTTTATCCAAATAATTTTGTTTTTTTGCAGCGGGTTCTTCCTTCCAAACATGGCGGCTACCGCTCAGTTGATGTTTGATGAATATGGACAGCCGTTCATATTAATGAGAGATCAAGAAAATCAGAAGAGATTGACGGGTGTTGAAGCTTTGAAGGTAGACTCTTATTTAACAAGGTGCTGACTTCAGAATTAAATATATTTTAGACACATATCATGGCCGCAAGATCTGTTGCCAACACTCTGAAAACATCTCTGGGACCACGTGGTCTGGACAAAATGCTGGTTTGCATTTTCTGCCGCTGTCGAGTTTTGACTAAAATTGTTGAAGGTCTCCCCAGACGGTGAAGTTACTATTTCCAATGACGGAGCCACCATCATGGAGAAAATGGACGTTCAACATCATGTTGCTAAGTTAATGGTTGAATTGAGCAAATCCCAAGATGCCGAAATCGGAGACGGAACTACTGGTGTTGTCGGTATGTATTTGTTTTAGTAACATTTTTGAAGTTGGCTTGATTGGACAACTTTAAAATTATTGTTTTCGCTCTTTCATCCTGACTTCTTTGAATTAAAGGTTTTGAGAAATGATGTCGCGCTTTTTATAATCATTCTTTCTCATAAACAAGTTCGTGAAAATGAGGTTTCACACATTTTTTCTCATTTTCTCCCCTTGTCTTGTTAAAAATCCTTTGTTTTATTTGTTCCGAACGCGAAGATTATGGTGAAAAAAGATATCAAATTTTCAAATAACATCATAGATTAACTTAATTCCGAGAGAAAGAATCATAGCTTAGCTGCTTGTTATAGCCACTAGTGTTCGTATGTAGTTGGGCTCCCATGCATCCTTTCCTAGATAGAATAGCAGAGCGAGATAGACGTGAACCATCGGTGTCTTGTTCACCGAGTATCTTTTATTTAGTTACCAGCTTGGGCTAATTGTTAATTTCGTTAATTTGAGGGTTTATTGTTTGTCCAACGATGTGTAGCTTTTCTCCGCGGAGTGGGTAGCCCGCATTTTTTCACTATGCTTCTACGCTATCGATTTTGTGTGCGCAGGGGATTATGCCAGTTCTGCGAACTATTATGCAGCAGCTCCTCTATTGTGCTCTTTTTCTTTCTCGTTTTGCTGTGGTTCTGCCTTTTTTGGATATGTTTTCATTCTTTTTTTTTTCAGTTCTCGCTGGAGCTTTACTAGAAGAAGCTGAGCACCTCATTGACAAGGGAATTCATCCCATCAAGATTGCTGATGGATTCGACTTGGCTTGCAAAAAGGTTATTCTTTGTTTAGTTTCTATTCTTGTAACATGACTTTTAAGGCTTTGGAAACCCTTGACAACATTGCTGATAAATTCCCCGTTCAAGACCGTGAAAGATTAATTGAGACTGCTCAAACATCTCTTGGATCCAAGATGTATTTATTTTAAACTTCAAACTGTGTATGAATATATTTTTTAGTGTCAATCGCTCAATTCGCCATTTTGCTGAAATCGCTGTTGATGCCGTTTTATCAGTCGCTGATTTGGAAAAGAGAGATGTCAACTTCGAGTTGATCAAAATGCAAGGAAAAGTTGGTGGTCAACTGGAAGATTCTAAGTTGGTAAAGGGAATTGTCATTGACAAGACTATGTCTCACCCTCAAATGCCTAAGGAAATCCGCAATGCTAAGGTATAACTATACACTTGCTCGACTAGCATATTTTCTTTATTGTAGGTTGCCATCCTTACCTGCCCATTTGAACCACCAAAACCTAAGACCAAGCATAAACTTGACATCACATCTACTGAAGACTTCAAGAAGCTGAGAGAATATGAACGTGAAACTTTCGAGAAGATGATCAAACAAGTTAGTTCTATTAACTTCTGATCATTCAAATCTTGATGTTTAAGGTTAAAGATAGCGGTGCTACCCTCACTATTTGCCAGTGGGGATTCGATGATGAGGCTAATCATCTCCTTCACCACCATCAACTTCCTGCTGTTAGATGGGTAGGAGGTCCAGAAATTGAGCTTCTTGCTATCGCTACCAATGGTAGAATCGTTCCAAGGTATACTTCTAGGTGGGATTGATGTCTATATTCATTGGTTATTATAGATTCGAGGAACTGACCGAGCAGAAACTCGGAACTGCTGGACTTGTGCGTGAAATCACTTTCGGAACTGCTCGCGATCAAATGCTCTCTATTGAGGAGTGCCCTAACATGAAGGCTGTTACCATCATGGTCCGTGGAGGAAACAAAATGGTATAGTTACACGATGAAGTAAAAATCGAAACGATCTCCTTGTTACAGTTGATTGAGGAGGCCAAGCGCTCTATTCATGATGCTCTTTGCGTTATCCGCAACTTGGTTAAGGATGACAGAATTGTCTATGGTGGTGGAGCCGCTGAAGTTGCCTGTGCGCTTCAGGTTGCTGCTGAAGCTGATAAGGTATGTTGTTCAGAACGATTTTGTTTTTTTACCCATCTCGTTCTGTATATTATTTTTTGTTTTCAAGATTGAAGGAATCGAGCAATATTCTTTCCGTGCTTTCGCTGACGCTTTGGAAGCTATTCCCATGGCTTTGGCTGAGAACAGTGGACTTTCGCCCATTGATGCCATCACAGATTTGAAGGTACGACATTTTTTTATTGAAATAAGTGAAAGTTTTTTTTAGGCCAAGCACCTCTCGACCAAGAACTCCTACTTGGGTATTGATGCTACCTTCAGTGGAACCAATGACATGAAGAAACAAAAGGTTATTGAGACTCTCCTCTCCAAGAAAGAACAAATCTCTCTCGCTACACAGGTACGATCTAGATATCGCGAGACGTAATGTAGAAATAAAAACGATTTAGGTTGTTCGTATGATTCTCAAGATTGATGATGTCCGAGTACCTGACGATGAAGCTGGACATGCCCATTAATCAATCTTGCTTTAGTGCTTTTTACCGTTTGATCTGTTTTACATCTGAGTGCTTTGCGGTCTCGTTTAATGTTATCACACGTTGTTAACTTTTTTGTTTAAGTTGCCTTCAGCTTTTTTGTTGAATTAAACTAATTGCTCAATTTGCAATATACCTACTTGGCCGTTGTATTCGGCTCGCATATCTTTTCTCAATATAACACATTTATCAAACATTCGAATATTACAGAGTATGGCATGGTAAAATTTCTTAGCGAATGATAAGTAATATGTCGTCTGTTGCTGCAACGAACGGGCAGTCAGAGGCTCCCCAAATAAAAAAGGTACTCCTTCGAAATTGATTTTTAATCGTCACTATCTTATCAGAAAGTCCATATTGTCACTAATTCGCCTGATGCAGACAATAGCATGCAACGTGCACTTGGAGGAGCAACCCCTAATGGAGGTTTTTTCAATCTTCATTTTTTATATATATGTCTTGTTATAGAATTTCCGTCAACTGCTGAACTGATGCATAAGTGCTTATCTGTGAATCCGTTCGAAGCTAAGTTCGCAGAAGCGAATCGTCGAATATCTGCAGGTGTGCTTGAAGCCAATGGACTTGCTCCTCCTTCTATCAGTTTGGCTAGTACTCATAATTCAGGTGAATTTTGAATAAATGATCAATTATTTATCTTCGTTTTAGGACTCTCCCTTCTGAAAATCCCGTCATCATTATCTGAATCACCTGGCATTTTTTCCAATATTAACATTCTTAGAACTGAAGTAGACAATGCCAATGAGAATCTCACAACAGCCGACATCTCCAAATTATTGCAAACGGTTTGTTTAACGATACATTTGGTCTTTTCAGTCTCTGATTTCAGATGAAAGACCCTATGAATTCTGCTGATATCACCCAAGCCCCAAGAACAGCAGAAGTCTTAAATACTGTTTTAGACATGCACTCAGATCGTCTGCATACTATTAACTATTTAAACAAGTGAGTCATGTATTCATGAATGCCTCTCAATAACATAAATATTCAGTCCCGATTTCGCTAGCATTTTCTCTTCTCTTGCGCCTACAGGATCCGCTCCTAATTCAGCTGGTGTCCTTGGAGTCACAACATCATCTAGTCCATCAAGCATTCCTACCACTAGCGGAGGGCTTCTTGCTCCACCATCTGTTGTAGGGACTAGCCCTAGTCACTCACCTCAACAAGCGCATGCTCAACAACCTTCTTCCCGAGATACAGAGTAGTTTACTAATCTTAGTTTTATTTTTGTATTTTTGTTTTCAGTAAGCGATCACCTGCTGGATCCGATATTTCTCTCTCTAATTCGCAGCCTAATCTTTTAGCAGCTTTGCATCAGCCCGATCCTTTGTTTGATCCAAGGGATGTGAAGCCTGTCATTACTCAGAAAGTAAAATTGGATAATTTAAATTCCACATTCACACGATCACTTAGATTTTCTCGGATGATTCAACCCATTGTAGCTCTAACATTCCTTCGGTGGCCATACCAGGTTCCACTAGCTTGATGTCCTTAGACGACCAAAGCCGGTGTGTCGAAGAGTTAGCTTCATTTTGTAATCATACTTATTGCAGAGATTCTTCTCCTCCTACAGGGGGACATACACCTACAGGAGTAGGACGCGGTCGCGGCAGAGGTAGAGCTGCTCTTAATGCTGAATTACCTCAAGATGACAGAAGGTAATTGGTGGTCTTAAGTATACGCTATCGTTTCCCTTTTTCGTAGGATGACGATTCTAGAACGGAATAAGGCCGCTGCGGTACGATACCGTAAGCGGAAGAAGGAGGAACATGATGATATGATCACGAGGGTTCATAATTTAGAACAAGAAAAGGCCCAGCTAACAGTTGGTGTTCGTTCTCGAAAGCTGCTAACTCTCTCATTTCAGACTAGAAATCAAGTGCTATGTAGAGAATTGGAGCATCTAAAAGCCATAATTCGAGAAAGGGAGTCTCGTTGCGTTTGCCTCAAAGGCGTTAACTTAATGAACGTTAATCATCGAGCCGATTCCCCCATCGATGTAACTATTTCATATTTCAGATGATTTAAAATTTTATTCCGAGCCCTCAGGTCGATGAAATCATAACCTCTCATGCTTCCATCTCCTTTTGATTCATTTATTAGCGATCCGTCGATAGCGTACGAAACAGCTTTGATCCACTTTTCTTCTGACTAGTGAAATGTAAAAAAAAAAAACATTCCCTCATAGGCAGCACTTCCGCTGTCTGTACCTCCTATATGACAAATTTCTATTTTCAAAGCATTCTCGTCGCTTAGATAACTTATTACCGTTCCGCTCTCTCCTTCATTCCCTATATCACCCTTAGTCTTTGCGTACACTTTGTCTTCCATTTTTGGACGACTTTGAGTAGGTGAGCCACGAGCCGGTCTCGTCAAACTTGGTGTCCATCTTGTGATTTTCAACTGAATAGTCGAGCTATAATCGTTTTCTTAGAACTCGCGCTAGTTTATGCCGCCTATCGATCAGACTCAGTTCTCTAAAAAAATTAATATTCAAAAACTAAACTGCGTGATAGAGCAATTTCCTCAGTCAGGTTTCTTCCGCGTTGTGTGTGTGTGTGTCTGCGCCTGTGTATTCTTATTATTCAAAGTTTTAAAATTGTATATATTTTCCAGAGTATATTGTTTTTGTTACCTTAAACTTTCGGATGAGAGAGATGTTGTTCTAACATGTTCTCGAAACCTCTCATAATTTACCTGATCAGATTTTTTCTTACTCCACAACTTTCCTCTTGCTAGTGTAGGTGGGACTCTTACAGTTTTTTTACTCCAAACCACCTCCTGCATATCTTTTTTCGTTGTTAATTTTGCATTTGAAAGAGTCTATTTTGTCTGTTGGTATTCTGAATCAAAGAGCACTATTAAATGCATTTTATTGAAATAGAAAAGATATATATTTATAATTACATTTACATCTAATGAATTTTTTTTTCAATTTCTCTTTGTTCAAACTGTTTCGTGGGTCGTTTTAATTTGCTTGTCAGAATATTGATAAGCCGCATATCTTCACAAGTGGCTTGGTGAAAACTAATCAATTTCGGGCTTATGCTTCCGAAAATCTGTAATTCATGCAAATAAGGAGATCACGCTTATGCTAATCTGTTATTTCAAAGCTGAAAGAATCCCTTTTGTACCTGCGAAGAATCTGTATAGTTACCACCGTTTGCTTGTTTGAAATCGTTCATTTCGGAGACCGCGAAGTGTCGTTTAATGATAAGAAATCTTAATGATTGGAGTTTGCTAAAGATAATGCCCCACAAACCCACCTGTTCCGTTTCTGAGAATCTCGTTGCAGATTTAAATTGACGGATTGTTCCAAGCATTCGCTTAGCGAACCTTCATCAATTCCACAGCCTATAAAGGCCATGCTTAATTTTGATTGATTTAGAATGTGGACCTGGGGATTGGCTTCTAATCTGTCTCATCAACATAGATAGAGCACCTCGGCTTAAAATCGTTATAGGGACCAAAGAATTGGGTGGTTCTGTTTTTTCTTCGTCCTTCTAAAGCAAAATGTAGTACTTTAGCACTTTTAATGGCCGTCTACATCGTAAACAAGCAGAAGGAGTAGGGCATATATACGCTAACATATGAAAAAACTTGAAAAGGGACAAACAACCAATCGTTGCGCCATTACGTGTAGAAATAACTTTTAAGAAATCACGTGAGCCCATATGATGTTTTCGAATATGCAAATATGAGGGAATGCTTTCGCTAATTGTTTGAAAAAGATTTTTACAATTAGACAAATTTCAATTGATAGCTAAATCAGCTATATAGAACCCACTTCAGATATTATCGTATAATATGCATGTGTGCTGTCCAAGCCAGATAGTTCCTGTAAAAAGGATTATTACATAAAAAGCTTTTCAGATGCGCATTAACATAGATTATATGAATATAGATAATATAGTATTACCTACCAGTTTCAATTGATTGATCAACACTAAAGAATTATCGGAAGCAAATACATACCAATCAGGCTCATTTTTCGTTCTCAAAAACTGACTAACATATAGGGACTGCGATCTAAAAGTTTCATCTTTGACGTCGAAGAGTTCAAATAGTATACCTTATAAGAGCCCAATGATTATAAAGATTAAACTTTTGAAAAACAACACGATCAAAAGCGGATTGAGTTTTATAATTGGTAAAAATAAAAAAATCATCCCTTTCTCGAAGCCATGTCTCCAAACTACATTTTAGCTGAAAGGCGTTAATTCAGAACATTTTTATCAATGAAATTAAATATATAATTGATAAGATGACTTTTTATTTTACTCACTAAGTTTTGGTCAGCTGATGAGATCAAAAGTTGTATTGAAGAGTCTGTAGTTGTCGTTGTTGATCTGCAACAACATTATATGATGATGGATACAATTGTATGTATGGAAAGAAAAACAATTGTCTTAAAATCTCAAACTACGTGCAGTTCAGAATACAATGAACTCTCACCTCATATGAATTGCATTTTGAGATCTTCGACCCAGGTAAATACGAATACAAAGTACTCCCATGAGTAACAATACTACATGACTAAGAGCCTTATGTTTCCGAAGACCCAAAGGTTTGAAATGGGTTGTAGACTCCAGGGTTTTTTCCGAAAAAATAAGGGACAGAATATAAAAAAACTATTTATTGAAATATTGAACAATAGATATCAGAGCTCCTAAAGTGAGAAAGATACATGAAAACTCCTATCTGGGTAACCCACGTCGGATGAGACAGATCATTATCTCCGTAAGGAGAAATGAGTGTACAGTTTCATAGAGGGCACATAGCGTTCATTCAAACAATTTCTTTAAATCAAGATTTTGAACGAGTTAATGAATTTCTTTTTTTTCAGTCCTGACGAAAAACTAAGCAAGTGATGTTATATCGTGAATGAATGCAATATTCCTGAGCATGAGCCATATAACTGAAATTGCATTCAGCGCAGATGATAGCCCATGAACCTCCATCCATGTTCCCCATGTTGGTATGAATGTTCTGCTTTGTCTCTCGAACATTATCAGTCATGCTCTATAATATTCTTGATAATAGACCATTATTTATCCATTTGAAAGATTTTGATGAAGCAAGCAGATGTCAGAAGAAACAGAAGGGACTTGCCTTATGCATAATTTTACGAAGACGATCCAATGAGCAGTTTCCATCACGAGATGGCAAGGGATTGTAACGAGGAAACGGAGGTTCACCCGGCACTATGAATACTTCTGTTTCAACAAAAAAATATGAAAAATTGATATTCTCAAGAGAAAAACCTCCTTGCAATTCGTTAGATTCAAATGTTTTGACAACGACACCCGTATCATCAGCCAAACATGTTGAGCACAGAATGAATATAGAAATGAATGATTTAATGAAAAATTTTAACATCATTATAAATATCAATTGAATATCTTATGAAAAAATCTAATTTATATTTATATATATATAATAAGCTGCATGATATTCTCACTACGGAGCTGTCACCGTCATGAGATGTCAGATTATGAGAATGCTGAACCCTTCGACATCAATTATGACGTTTCAAATGTTATTTGTCGTTTGAAACAAACAATCATTTTTGTGTTCTGCTTTCTGTTTCAAACAGAAGAAAAGAAAAAGTTCAAAGAAGTTTTCTTATTGCTTTTCCATCTCATACGTCAGGACAAATGAGCAGTTGCGACGAACACATCGCTGAACAGAATCAATGGAATCTTTATGAGGGAATGCAACTTGATGTAAGCTAGGCAACTCGAATGAAAAAGAAAAAAAAGGGAAGGAAATTCAAATATATAATTGAAAATCGATAATTCTCATTCTATGTTTATGTGCATCTCTCACCGTGTATATAACTACATCATCCTCATATAGCTTATTAAGCTCAACAAAGCTTAAAACCTCTTTCCAACATTTTTTAGCTCAACTTCTGCACGTACACTGATGGAATAGAAATCAATGAAATGCAGCTGCCCTGCAACAGCCAATTGTGACCTCCACAATGTAAAGTATTGAATAAAGCAGCTTAAAACACTGTTATAAATTAAAATGTATATTATATATTATTATTATAATATAATATATTTGTTTGTTTGCTGTTTGTAGTTCATTTGCCAGTTTCCTTTTAAGGTACAAGATCCTGCCATTCAATCATCAAACTACTCTCCTCATACTGCCAATACTCAGTAGTACAATCCATATCTTTGTAATTCTTATATATTAAAGAAAAAAAAACTTATTTTTGTCAATGTAACTTGCTCTTTGTGATCAAATACAAATACTCAACATTCAAAACAATACAATCCATATCTTCAAAGGTCAAACTATCATCTGGACATTCAAAAACTTTTTTTTTTATTTTTCACCTCATTTTCGTCGAGTGCGGTTACTTGCATGTTATCCATCATCTGTCTTAGATGGTAAGAGGACTGAATACTCTGTTAATTTAAATCTATTGAGTCAGATGATCGTATTTAGACTTTCATTACTCATTGTTGAGACTCTTCTTTTTTTTTTTTGTTCGTACATTTTAAATGTGAGATGAAACGTAGGTTGTCAGTCGTGTGACATCATTGTACAGTGTAAGCTCTTGATTGTTTGTAGTATTCGTTGATCTCGTTAAGTTGTCGGGCTCTCATAATGATGCAACTAAATGATGTCACCACCCTTATGTGATATTGTTTTATTTTTCAGAAAAAAGAAGAAGAACGGGAAATAAGAAGCTGAAGAGCAATGGCGCGTCCAACCAGCACGAGTAGTCAGCAGAATGCGGCAAAAGTAAGTTTGTATAAGGTTTTGCTCCCCAACATTTGTTTGTTCTCAAAGTTCAACAACTATTTTTATGACAATACTCAGCACTGATCTATCAGCTCCCTCATTCATATTTTTTTAGTTTCTTTGAACTTCCTCCTACTCCTACGTGTTTATTTCGTTTAAAAGTCCCCTGACATGGTTTTGGCGCATTTTCTTCTTTCATGTCATAAATTCTAATTTTGTTCGTCAGCCATGATGTTCCTGTGAGCGTCATTGTCATTCATGTCTCTTTAATCATCATGCCATTGAGCCGTATAGTGATGGTTCGAAGGTTATACGCCAGCTGGTTGATGAAGAATCAACTGATATCACAGATAGAGAGATCCATCTACAACAAGCTTGTGTATGCATTTGTGATCTGAGAAAGTGATAGAAGCTGTGAAATGATTAGATGAACTTATGAATTTGATTAGTGTGATGCTTGAATGTAGGTCGTTTGATGGATAGTGCTGTTTAAATAATCCACGTATTTCCTTGTATGGCTAACGCTATTTTAATGCTTCCATGTGTCATATTGGCGTATCTTCTTTCATATCAGAGCGCATTATCACGTGGTCATACGAGAATAGGGGGGGGGGGTTGCTTTTTTCGAACTTTCCAGTACTGGTTCAAGATGATGAAGACGAAGAAAGTATGAAAGGGAAAATTAATTGTTATCTGGTTTAGTTGTTCTTGCTTTGTGATTTAAATCGAGTATTAATGTCGTAATTATACATCTTATCGCATTCTCGATGAGGTATGTCTCTGACTGTGCCAGGGGGGGGGGTTGCATGGTTCATTCTATTCATTGAACATGCCACGCTCAGCTTTGATTACCTCGTGAATAGAACTGAATGAAACTTTTCCATGAGAGTCATTAAATTAGTTATCGAGAATAGATCTATATGGAATAGAGCGTATAATACTTTATCAATAGCTTTTTTGCCTTCCTCCCAATCTACTTCTCTGTATCTGTCTGTTGTGCCGCCTGTCTTTTCCAAATAAGGACAGACAGTTCTGTTTCAATCAGTTGATTGAATTGTTGCGGTTGGCGATCATATTGCCTCGTGGCTTTCGCTTAGTTACTAAATACTAATATAATGAGTGATATGGCATCATCTCCTCAAACTGCTGTTCATCCTTCATCCTCTCAACGCGCTCGACTAATTTCATATTGTCCTGCTATTGATAAGGTTTGTTTGCCCTCATTTACTTAATACCAAAACAAGCAGAAAGGCTTAGTTCGTGGGCAGTTTGTTTGATTTGTTTGAAGCGCTGAGAGAATCGGTAAATTTGGTTTGGAAAAAATGGCTATTGTTTGATAAAAACTGCCACATATGGCTAAGACATCCGAACGGATAATGTCATTCGTCTTGATTTCCTTATATGTTTCACGGATCATCTCAACCTTTTTCGAATTTTGTCCGGTTCATCTCTTTAGATCTTCTTGTTCTTCTTTTATAAATGTGCTAGAAGAATAATTGTGTTCAAGATAGTTGTTTAGAGAGAAAGGGAGGTGGATAGAAGTGGTGCAGAGAGAGAGAGAGAGGTGGAGAGAAAGGGGGGTTTCACCAGTTCATGAACTATATGAGATTATGTTCTTTTCTTTCTCTCTTTTTGCTCTTCATTGTGTAGTTTTCGTTTTTGAAACTTTGTGATAGGGTAACCTTCTATCATTTCCATTTTCGATGCTATTATTTCATCTCTTTTTGTTCTGCTATCACAGGTTCTCTAGTTTGTTCATTAATTACTGCTAGAATGAATGACATAGAAATGAACGTCAGTCCTCGTGGCCCAGTCATTCCTAGTTGAACCAGCTTGAGAACTTTAGTGGTATCAATGTTGAACAAAATGGCTGAAATGATTTTTTTATTAGAAGACGAATCTTGTCTTCATTCATTATTTTTCTTCCATCTCCTTACAAGTAAACACACCACACAACTATATATATATATAAATACATATATGGCCATATGTGTAATCTGTGCTTGATGTAGTTTTGGTTGATAAGCTCATTCTCTTAACGTTAAATTGGCATTTGTGGTGTCGATTATGAAGTGTTGTGCGTGTCTTTAGAGAAAGGTTGTTATCAGTTTTCATTTTTGCCATTTGAACTTTGAATAATGAGTCTCGTGTAACTAGAGAGAAACGTTCTGATGACCTCTATTTTGACAAAAAGCTTGCGCAAGAGGTTGAAAATCATTTTTTCTAATGTTTTTTTTGCAATTAGATGATTGTTCAATGGGTTGTATGGGAGGTGGGAATGGAAGCTTTTGTCTTAAGCTCTTGTATATTCTTGATTCTCATCGATATGCTTTGTATTTTCTTCTAATTTCTCTGTATATTTATGTGTACTTGGGAGAGAAGAAGAGAGATGGAAAAGATGGCCGAGAAAATAGAAAGAGAAAGAGAAAAATAGGAAAAGATCGAAACATCATTGGAATAATATTGAATTGTTGAAATATATATATATATAAATATATATAAATTAAACGATTTCGATGAACGTGGATTCTCAATCTGCTTTTCTTTGTTGATGATGTGCCGGGCGTGAAGCGTTTATCCGAATGTGTCTCTGTTTCCCTTTTCCATAGCTGCCTCTTCTGAATTCTGAAATAACCTGTTTGCCTCCTTTCCGTCGCCATCGAGTCCATCTTGGTGATCGTTGTCTATGTGGTAGTCAAGTAGTTCATCTGACGTTTTGTAGCCAAAATGTGTTGGAAGCAGTGAAAAATTGTAAAAAGTTTTAGTTTCTTCTAGTTTTTTTTGTCTACACACATCACAGATCGGTCATGAACATCATGCTGAATGACTGATTATGGTTTTCCTCTCCTCCTTGCTCTTCTCTCTATATATATATATGATTTCCCAATTGTGTCTTATGAAAGTCTTTGTGTTTGTAACTCATCCTTCGTTTTCCTAGCAAATCCTTAAATGGCTCCTCTTCCATTAGCACGATTGTTTTCGTACGATCATGATAAGAACTGTAAGGTGAGGAATTTCATGACACCTTCGTTATGTTCTAACCATTAACCAAAATGAAAAAGAATTGGAATAGAAAGTTAGAGAGAGAGAGATAAAGCAATTTCAGTTCATGATAGATTTATTTAACTTGAAGGGCTTTTCATTTAAACATAGCGGTTTAGTTTACCTTCCATGTTACAGTGCGTCATCATTGAGTTCACTTTCTAATCGCTCTATTCCGAATTTCGAAATTAAAAAGATCTTCGGTGGAGCTTTTGAGATAGGTAGCTCCATTTCAACTCCTTGTGTGAGAAGAGCTCAGCTTCTCTTTTAACAATAACTGAATGTATGACTTCGCTTATCACAAAATGAAGTTTTGACATCGTAGGGAGGCGCACAGTAATGTGGGCGGAATTCTAAACCGATATGCTCAAGTAATAAGCACCAGCTATAAAATACACTAACTACGTTCCCTTATCATAAAGTTTTTTGCAGAGTTCTGAGGAGTGGAAGTCATCTACTAAGATGGAAACCCTTGTCGGATGTGAGCAAGAGCTCGCCAAGCTCTTAGACACTGCCGATCCAGAGAAACTCGAGGTTAGCTTGTGCGTACAGTGTTTCGCTGACTGATCAGATCGTTATAGCATTACCGCAAGGAGCTCTCCGGATTCCGTAATCTTTTCGCTCGTTTCCTTCGTGCCAGAACTCATGTTGATTGGAGCAAAATTGAACCTTTACCTGAGGGATCGATCCGTGCCTACAAGCACGTAAGTCGGCTGTCTTGTACAAACGATGCATGTTCTATGTGTTTAGCTGACCAAGCCAGAGGGACAGGAGATCTCCAAGATGTTGAATAAGCTTGTTGTAGTCAAGCTCAACGGAGGTCTTGGAACCTCAATGGGTTGCAAAGGACCAAAGTCTGTTATCCCTGTTCGCAACGATCTGACCTTCTTAGATCTGACCATGCAGCAGATTCAGGTATATAGTTTGATATAGTTTGATCATTTGTACATTTGTGAAAGCATGCTTCAAGTATACAAAAGATGATTGCACTCGTTGTTATTTTGGTGTTTAATCACTAAGTTTAGACATTGAACAATCAATACGGAGTGGATGTTCCATTGGTCTTGATGAACTCTTTCAATACCGATGATGATACACAAAAGGTGTTGAAGAAGTATGCTAATGTCAAGGTTATAAACACTTTTTTGAATGGAGTAAATGATGCGTCTTAAGGTATCTGTGCATACATTCTGCCAATCTCAATACCCTCGTATCAATCGCGAAACGTTAATGCCCGTCGCCAAAAGTCTGAGCAACGACGAACATGATTGGTTTGTGATAGCTAATCAGAAAAAAAATGAATAAAAAAAAACTGATTACAGCTGGTATCCACCTGGTCACGGTAACTTCTATGAGGCTTTCAACAACTCTGGACTTCTTGATAAGTTCCTCCAAGATGGCAAAGAATACTGCTTCCTCTCCAACATTGATAATCTTGGAGCCACTGTTGATGTTAACATTCTTAACTCTCTTATCAATCCCCAGGAAGGACATATCGAGCCTGAATTCTTGATGGAGGTGAGTTACAAGTAAACTTCACACTTCCTTGAAAAGATGATACTCGGAATGATCAGCCTTATCAGTTTTTCCTTCGCGAAACCTACATGTAACTTTTTTTATTTAAGGTTACTGATAAGACCAGAGCTGACGTCAAGGGAGGTACCCTTATTCAATATGAAAACCGTCTTATGCTTTTGGAAATCGCTCAAGTTAACAAAGATTATGTTGATGAGTTCAAGTCTATTAGCAAATTCAGGTATATCATATGAGTGATCTAAATACTAAACAGCTTTTGTAATTTTCAGAATTTTCAATACTAATAACCTCTGGGCCAAACTGTCTGCCATCAAGCGAGTTGTCGATAATGGCGAACTCTCTATGGAAGTCATTGTTAACCCTAAGCATCTCGACCGTGGCCTCGATGTCATCCAGCTTGAGACAGCAGCAGGAGCTGCTATTCAAAGCTTCAAGGGAGCCTGCGGTATCAGAGAAAACCCCTCTCATTCATTATCTTGCTCGTTCAGGAATTAATGTGCCACGATCACGTTTCTTGCCTGTGAAAAAGACTTCCGATTTACTTCTTTTGATGTCAAATCTTTACGACATCGATAACGGTAACCTAACTCTCTCGGAGCACAGATCATTCCCAACTACTCCATTGGTCAAATTAGGCAGTAGCTTTGATAAGGTAAGAAATAATGAACAGCTTCTGCGAATTGTAAATCGTGTTTAATTGTAGGTTAAAGACTTCTTGAGCCGCTTCCAAGGTATTCCTGATCTGTTGGAGTTGGATCACTTGACAGTATCCGGCGATGTAACATTCGGTAAAGAAGTCTCTTTGAAAGGAACAGTCATCATCATTGCCAATCATGGTGATCGCATTGATATTCCACCCGGCTCTCTATTAGAAAACAAGATTGTATCTGGTAACTTGAGAATTCTTGAACATTAATTCTGAATTTTCTTCATCTCCCTCTCTCTCTCTCTCTCTCTCTCTCTATCTCTCTCTCTCTCTTTCTCTCCTTAATCTAAAAAATAATAATTTCTAACAACAACGAGTAACAACAAAGGACTTGCTCAGTTTTATCAAACTTCGTAGCTAATATGTGTATGTATTTTATAATCATTTTTTAACCGTTTTTCATTGTATAATAATATCAAATTTTTATTCTTTATATGACTTTTTATAAATAATTTTGATACAGAAATGTGAATTGTTTGATTGAGATTAGAACCTGCAGACGAAATCATCTTCCTCGCCACTTGATAGTACAATATCCTGCAAAGACGAATTGTTTTTATAGATGTTTGAATGCTTTTTACAATTGATCGTTTGAATGATCATCAAACAATCTATTTTCATTTTCATCAGACGTACTCACCTCATCATTATGAACAAATGAATTGACAACATTTTGATTTTCTATTATCTGTGTTGGCGTCTGAATAATTGGATTGAAAAATGGTTTCATTGATTTGGAAGTTACATTTGATTGGATGACATCAGGCACGTCTACTTGATTGGGTTGTGATAATGATATCTGGAATATGACATAAGCATTAATAAAAAAAATGATATCACGCTGACTCTTGTTCTAGGTTTTGGTACCGGTGTCGAAGATTCTGTTGGCGTCGGAGCCGAACAAACGCTAGCTTTAGAACAGCTTCGTTCTTTATCTTCATCAGTATTCTGGAAATCAGAATATACTCATTCAATAGGAGATGTAATTAGACGCGTCATATTCTTAAACTTAAGAGGGTGCGGCCGCATTTGGTTATCAGATTATTATACGATTGCTCACCATTTTTATATTTTCAATAATTCCTGGCCTTTCCACTGTTGTAGGAGATGGTACTGGCTTTTTAATAATTACGTACTCAGACTCGATTGAAGAAGTCTCATCAATACTTTGCTTTGCCTCAAATATTTTCTGAGCTTCTTGAGCTAACTGTTTACTAATTGGCGGAGGCATTGTACGTTTAGTTAGTGTTCCAGAGGCAGTACTGGGTGTTGTTATACTAGTCTCTTAAATAAACGTTGATTCATAACATGATGAATAACTTGAATACTAGGTCTGCTTGGTGGAACAATATCATCCAATCCTATCTCGAAACGTTGTGCAGGAGCTAGTTGATTGAAAAGACGATCTGGTCGCTGAATTGCCTGCAAGAGAAGTATTCATAAGAGAAAAGTATCCTCACAGAATCATAATATACTCAACTGGAGAAATTGATCGTCTCTCAACGCGATCAGGTGTGGAAATTTTCAATTCTAGAGTTTCTGGGGTTGTTGTGCTTGATACAGCTCGCTCTCTGAAGATTACTTATTGAGGATCACTTGTTTTTTGGCTTACTTTCTCCATTTGGGCAATTCTTCTTCTGTCATGAGGCTGGTGTCAGAATCTGGGGTAGTAACAGAAAGCTTCGGCTTATTAGCATATGACGGTGGTGAAGGTGCTCTCCGAGTTTTGGTGCTTTTCGGTCTGTATGACTCAATATAATCAGAATGAAAGGAAGAGTTTACCCGTTCAATGTGTTCACATACGTATGTGTCGTTTCGAAGTTCTCGTAATGAACTATATTTTGCTTAGGTGAATCCTGCAAGGGATGATTAATTCTTATGCTGCAGGCAAACCTCTGCAGTCCAATTAAGGATATGGTCATAATGATTAGCTTCTGAGGGTTGGACATATGTAGGCGCATCGATCTGAAATGATTCTCTAGATATTGATTATCGATATGTTATTTCACTTTAGGCGGTGAAGATGATAGAGCTGCGCTGAAGATATCCGGATGAACCGGTGTAGCTTGGTTACTCCTCAAACCACTTTTCGATGGCTGAATCATTTACATGTAACTATTCCATCTACGTCACCAACCGAAGGCAGAACATATGTTTGATCTGGTGACTCTATCGGGAACGGCATTGAACTATAGCGTTGAACATGTTCTGCATATTCAGTCTGCAGAAGAAGAAGAAAGAAAACAAAATAACATTTCGCTTTATAGCAGAATTCATACCAAAACACCTTTTTTGCGAAGTGCACGTTTAACATCTTCCGAATTGAAGTCAGCGCCAATATGTTGAACATGGCTGAAAGAAATCAATACAGCGATACCATCGATTGGTATATCCAATGTCAAAGTTTACTAACGAAAAGTTGAATGGATTCGATATTTCAATTTTGTTCTTCTTCCGATTTCGTGGTGGTGCAACAGGTGTCTGCGATGGCATATCTTCAATAAATGCAAATTATATTATAAATTACAAAACTACAAAATTGATGATGAACGATGTCGAAACAATAGTAAGAATGAATTCTGTAGACAACAATTTCTTAGGTTGTCCACTCATTATATGCTAGCTTGCATTCGCAAACCCATACTGAACCATTCAAAAGGATTGATGCTCTGGTTGATAACAAAAATCGATAACACAAAATTTTGCTTATTGAAAAACACTTGAAGTATATTAAACAGGTTGCCAAGCGTTCATTATACTATAATATAAAATACTATATACTATATATATAATTATATATATAATATATAATATACAATATATAAAAAGAGAGAGAGAGAGAGGGCGAGAAAAAAGAAAGAAAGGTAGAAAGAAAGATTGCGATAGAGGTAGAACACTGTATTAGTTCTATATGTATACAACGAAACATGAAGAAACAATCATGCATCTGATGAGCTACCAAAAACCATGCTAGGCTTGAGAAGAACAGATCAATGATTGCGAAACACATTATAGCATTTAATGATAAAACGTAAAACATTCTGTGCTTCTTGAAATAATAACCATAACCATGATATACAGACATGCACATGATGAAAAAACAAAATCAAAACTAACATTTTGGTGTACCAAGCATACTCAATTTGTTCGTATAGTTAATCAGATGATCCCCCGCATCAATTAAAACTGATTGCTTTTCATAATTAAGCTAAATAAGAACAAAGACGTGAGAGAAATCACGCTACACCAAGTTGGCTGTCAGCCTGGAATACGTGAACATCAATATGCATTCCATTTTTATCATTTCATACTCACAGACCGGTTGCATTGTAGACTATTGTTGACTCAGAAGACATTTACACGCAGAAAATCTATTTTTTTAGTGAGTTTTCTTTGGTAAACCTCGACTCGATGTCTAGTCCTAACATTTCATTATAGTTTTAAATTTAATTTTGGATTCTGTGGTGAGATGGCCGAGCGGTCTAAGGCGCTGGTTTAAGGCACCAGTCTCTTCGGAGGCGTGGGTTCGAATCCCACTCTCATCAGTATCTTTTATTTTTTTTTTTTGAACATTAATATTGTAACATCACATCATTCAGATATTCTAATGGTTTTTCTTTTATTTTCATACAAAACAATCATTTCCCGAGTACTTTGAGAGCTGCAAGCCTTCCAGGAGCTCCAGTAACTCCACCACCTGGAATATATTTTTATTGTACCAAGAGATATCTGATATACCTGGATGGGTTCCACTTCCACATAAATAAAGTCCTGCGATAGGGGATTCATAGTTACTGTGAGATGCCACTGGTCTTGAGAAATACAATTGATCCAAACTTATTCCACCGTGGAAAATATTCTACAAAAGAAGTGTCATTTTCGTTAAGCCTATATTACGAACTCCTCCAGTTATACCAAACACTTCTTCTAGTTTAGGAGGAGTCAAAACTTCATATCCAACGATTGATTTCGAGAAGTTAGGAGCATACGCGTCAATTTCAGAGAAAACTTAATGAACGAATTCTATGAACGTTTGAGGATCAGACAACAAACCAAGACGAGCATATTCCTCTGTTGTACTTTCATCCCATTGACCATTTTTCAAAGTATAAGGAGTATATTGGGTAAATAGCAAGCAGACATGAGAAGAATCATCTGATACTATAGTCCGGTCAACAGATGAAGGTATTGTCATCTCAATCATTGGTCTATAGTTTTTGTTTTAATTATAATAAATAACTCCATTACTTTCTACTCCAACGACCGGCTCTGAAATCCACAACCCCATCATCAACTAGTTTCATACTCTCACAGTTCATATGTATCGTCGTTTGATGATGTGGCATGGGTGTACTTCCGATATTAGGATTACAGGAGAAGTTAGGTAGCTCTTTCACGGCAACTGAAGTTCCAGTGTGCTGACAACCATTTCATAATGACTAAAGATTACCATTTATTTTTGTGACAGGGGAAGTGTAGTCGAACGTTTGCATAGCTCTGACAAACTCTCTTGGAAGAGATTCCTTAAATATTTGATGTAATTTCTTTGATGACTTTTCACGCGATAGCGTCATCTGTTCGCCATACACACGTGTAAAAAAAGTTATTTATATTGCTTTTCCACATGGGAACGGTTGTGCATGATCTATCAGTTTAATTTTCTCTTACCTTTTCGACCAACTTGTTGAAAGTAACATGAGGCGTAGCGTTGGAAAGAACAACATCAGCATGTATCTCTGATCCGTTCGCTAGTTTAACACCTTTTGCTACATTGCCTTCCAAAATAACATGATCAACTTCCTGAACATCAGTGTTGTTAGGTCTCGTTCAAAGTGTACCTGTTCGGTGAAACTTTCAGCTCCGGATGAACGCGCACTTGCGGCAATGGCTTCAGAAACCTTAAACCATTAGAAACATTGGTTTACGACAAGTAATAACTTACAGCTCCCATTCCTCCATAGACGTATCCCCATGCTCCAGGGCTATCGTCTAATCCTCCAAGTACATGATGCAAAAGGACGTATCTTGAATAACATTATAAAAACGGTATTTCGAAGTTGTATACCCAGTCCCTGCATCATACGGGCTAACTGCGGCCCCAATAACTCCATCTGTGCCGATAGTAGCTTTCAGAACATCAGACTCGAACCATTTATCCATAACCTAACTCAGAATCAATATTATAATTTTTCTTTACCCAATCTAAATACTTTTGCTATTGGAGCTGTCATAACCTCGTAGAAATCCACACAGTTTTTCAATCCGAGTGGTTTGACTGGAAAAACAATGTAAAGTTATGAGATTAAATATACAAACAACCTATATTGTAAAGTTTCCATAGATCTTGGTAGAGTGGTAAACCGGTTTGAGATAGATTGATCGGAGCTTGATCCATCAATGGTTCCAAGGATTTGATAATGTTGGACATGGTGTGTTCATACTTTGGATATTGCTGAAGGAAAGGATTCTCAATATCGTTTTATTTTTAATTACAAACTTCAGCGTCCCATTTTGAAAACTTGGCTATTTCTTCTTGATTTTTCTTCATGTCCATTCCAAGTAATAAATAATCGTTCGAATTACGAATCGGAGTGAAAGAGTTAGGATTCCTGATATGGTATTTGAGTCCATGTTTCTGAAGTCATGAATGTTTTGAAAAAAAATGCGAAATGCTAACCTTTAACTCTAACTCATTTATGACTGTAGGTCTCAATAAACTCAACAAGTAAGAAGCTCGAGAGAACTTGAACCCTTAACATAGTGTTGTTCCTGTTCTCATTGAACCAAAGTTTTATCTCACCTGGTACTATTTCTTCCGTAACAGCAGCTCCTCCTAAAACATGTCGACGTTCTAATACACAGACCTTCTTTCCGGCTTTAGCCAAATAAGCAGCCTATCAAAAATAAGAAGATAAAAACTGCACTCAGTTGATCTTTTTTACAGCTGTAAGACCGTTGTGACCTCCTCCTATTACAACTGCATCGTACTTGGAAGCCGGAGTCGAAAATCTTTAAAAGTCAACCATAAAAAGAAAAGAACCGGGAAACTTCACCTTCTCACTGACCGCAACATGTTGGTTTTGAATATCCAAAACTCATTAAAAGACCAAGAATGCCAAACTCTTATCTATGAGTAGGATGAAGATAAGATACCAACTTGCTATAAGCCAAGTTAACGACTGCATCTAATCAATCGTTCGATAAAAACATAAAAAACATAATCTCTGATGCTGAATATGCCTGTTGCTTATGGCGAGATGTGAGATGTCAGACTGTTAAATACTTTATTCAACGAATTACTAGGAGGCAAGCTTAGAATGTTTGTTGAAAGCATATTTGGATGAGATAAAGCCAGGAAAAAATAATATTATGCTCGTAATAAAAAAACGAAAGCAAGGTCGAGAGAAAAGCAAAGAAATACAAAATTATGTTTAAGTCTAATTAATTAGTGCTACAGGTTTTTCCACAAGCGGCATCAGCGTCACTTATCAGATTTTTTTCAATGATGGCAAAGTACTTTTCTATTGGCATCCATCCTTCTCCATTCGAGATTTTTGCCAATTCATGAGAATAGTGAGCCTGTTTTGAATAGAGTTTACACAGTCTTCTTGAGTATTCTCACCTTGTAGATTACATGACGATCAATTGGGTTAGGATCGTGGAGAAGTATACGCATCTCATCATTTGGTTTAGTTCTGAAAATACAAGTAGCTCAAGACATCCCAGGTTCATTGAAGTGTACCTGAAATCAATGACAAAACCAGCAGAAGTTTCAAGATCTTTTTTTTCGAGTCCCAATAACTTCATCACAGCAAGAGTAACCTCAGTATGAGAAGCATATCCGATGACATAAGGACCTTCACCAGTTTGAGCTTTCTTGATAGAGTCAACAATATGCTGAGCCCAATGTCCAGCCATCAAGTTTCTACATGGCTCATGATCAGCACATGCAATTTGCCTCTTCTCAGCTGAATTAGAATACTTAGCCAGAGTCTTTCTAATTATTTGATACCAAACTTATGGATTGCTTTAATAATGGAATCTTTATTATATCCCTTAAGGCCAGGTTTCTCAATCCAAGATGGATAATGAGCGTTATGAGTTTCCTAGAACAGAAAGATATTAAAAAGTAAAAACTGTGAAAGAGCAAAAATGAATGAAGATAATCTTACAATAGCGATAAGGTTATCAGCTATGTCTGAAACACTTCCGATGTCGGCTTGCCATCCAGTTTGTTTAGCAACGTAAGCTATCAAATCCTTGTACTTCTCAGTCAAATTGGCAAGCTCAGGTAACGAATCCTCATCAATCTCTTTCCATACTGAAAAAAGTTTTGTTTTCTGTTTAGGTTTAAGAACTTTTGATCTCTTAAATCTCCTAAGAATCATAAAAAATTTTCATTTTTTGTTCTGTTTTCTGCCATTTTGAATCATAACTCTTCTTATCTATTTTATTAAGAGTTTCAAAGGTTATTACGATGATTTGTGTTTATTACCTTCCGCGGATCGGGGGCAATCCTTAACCGCATACATGCGAAGTAATTGATCATTCGTTGTATAAGGAATCGGACTCCAATGATCAAAATGATCCGTCTGCCAGTCAGCCCATCCAATTGGATCATAAAAACCGACTAATGCTGTCTACAGATGGCTAATTTATTAAAAATTCTAATAATAGAATTAATTTACTTGCAGAGTAGCCTGACAACGTCCAGCAGAACTCGAATAGAAATGAGCTTCTTTTGGAAGATAGTTAACATTAATTCTATTATAACCAACAAAACGTCGAAGTTCTCTACCCAAGCCATAGGCTTGTCGTTTTCCAATCTGTCACAAGTTTACCTTTGAAAACTTTTTTTCTCACGTATAACTCACAGAAGTTAATTCTAGTTCTCCTTCGAAGCCCCAAACTTGGTAAGGTTCAGCAGAGTGAAAACGTCCGGGATTACGAGCACCATGACGAGTTCCCCACAGAACCAAACGAGAGTTGGAATCTGAATTGATAAGAAAATTTTAAAATAGAATGCCCGTGAACTAAAATAGAAATGTGAACTTACCACTTTTTAAAGATACGGAAGGTAACGGACGCTTGTGTGCCCAGACAACAATGGCCAGACAAGTAAAAGAGAGCAAAAGCCGGAACATTAATGCTTAAAGAAACAAACAAGAATTTCAGTATGTGATGAGGAGTTAGATTTGATTCATGTGTCATCCTTAGAATAAATAGAAAAACAATATGAAAGACTATCTATGATGTATTAAGAAAGCATTATCAAACTAGAATGAAATGGTAAAGAAGAAGGAAATGAGACAACGGAGAAAAAGCTTTTACTGATGAAATGACAATGACGTTGTAAGAGGCGTTGATTTGTAGAAAATCATAACATTAAGTATTAAATGGAAAGAAACACTAAAAATTGTCAACAAAACAAGAGAGAAAACCAAAACTGAAAGAAGAATGGGAGGAACTGTTGATGAAAATTGTTTGAAATGAAGTCAATTCCCAATATAAGCAGCCATCATCAGAAGATACTCTATTACATATAAATATATGATTACTGTAATCATTAGAAATGTACATAATATTCTGAATGATCATCATCTGCTTTCCTTTTTATTACTTCGCATCTCGGAATGTTTCATCTTCTTCCGCCTTTTTTTGTTGTTATTCTCTCAATCGTCAAATAACAACATAACAATAATGAAAATATATAAGACAAGTACTATGCATCACCAACACTGTATCACTTTCAAACAAATTTATTTCAATATATACACAAATCTCATATTTTAAATGATCCAATAAACAATGGCAAAAAATATAAATTTCACATGAGCTTCAACAGTTTTCTTGTTCTAAGGACAGCTTTACCATTCTGACTCCTTATCACAAAGATCAAGCGACAGCATTTCTAACCCACAAAACGTTAACAAAAGATTTGAGCAAACATTCTGAACAGAAAAAAATGAGTCTTATTAAAAAAGAAAACCATTCATCTTACAAAGAGAACCTTTTTTTTCAAAAAGAAATATTATGTTAGTGATGGGGGAGGGGATGCCGATATCATACTCTGCCAGATTGTAGTTTAATCAGAAAAATAAAACAAACTCAATAATTTTTACCAAACAAAATCCATGAGCGTCGGCAGATATTGAACTCAATGCAATCAAACTTTCAAAGGTTCGCTAAAAGAAAATTTGAAATTGAGACTCGAACGTCTAAATTGTTTTTTGATTTTGTGCTTGAATCTCTCTGTTAACAATTATATTTCTTTAGAACTGAAGACGTGATTATTTGAGAAAGCTTAAGAAGAATGAAGTTTGTTCTGTCAATAGATCATCTTGAGTTCTCTCCAGTCAACTCAAAGATCGAACCGTCCCATTTGAATTTCATTTAATTGTCTGCCAGCACAGGAGAATGCCATTCTCAAAATGGTGGCCTAATGGACGTCGTGGCAATAATGTACGTCCTACATCTTCTGCTTCTGATAACAGTCTGGCGCCTCCAGCTTCACCTGATGATTGCACAGTTAATAAAAAAACCTGGTAAGTTCTTATTCTCATCATTTATTTTGTTTCTGAAAAATAATTTTCTGTTCCCCTTTCAATTATTTCTCTGATAAAATATGCTCAGTACAAAGTGAGCAACTATCAGTTAACCGGGAACAAAGATCTGATCCATTCCTTCCAAAGATGGTCTTATCAGTTTATGAGAGCAAATTTCATAATTTTTTTTGATTTGTTATCTAGTTTCATGAAGATGTTTCTGAACTATTTCAAAATTGTAACGTATTTTGTCGTCACTGAGCGTAAATTTCCAAATAAACTAAGTTTTATTGTTCGCACATTTTTGAAAACAAGTCTGATTCGTATCATTTGATGGTTCAGTAGAAAGCAGCTTGTAAGCATAAACTCCTAATTGAAAGTTAGTATCTCTAACTCTTTACAACCCAGTGAAATATGAATGAATTAACATTTTCATAGAATGGCATATTGATTTTGCAAAGGTAATCTAATAGGTTTCAACATTTACGAGATTGTCGGCATCTGTCCAAGCTCAAATGCTTACATTCTTCTATCTCAGCATTTTTTTGGTTTTTTTTCCCATATGCTTGTTTAGTTTAAAAATAGTTGCGCTCTCCACGTATGCTAATTACATGGGAAACGCTATAGTTAAATCATTTCCCACCTACTATGCGTAACGATCGGTTGTGTTCTTCATTAGATTTTTTCATCTTCTCATACACGTTACCAAGATCAAACATTAGACGCGCAAATCTGATAAAGTTTGTTCTCCGAGATTTTTTTTTGTTATAATACTTAACAGATTAATGAAACTCGTCGAGATAATAACATATAATCAGGTGTTAACTTCCGAATAAGAATCAGATGAAAAGGCAAAATATGCGAAGAAAAAAAAATTATTTATAAGATTATGAAATAACTTGAAGCTACTACTTGTGCAAAGATCAAAGGTGAGATTTTTGAACAAGAATAACCGCAATTTTTCTCAGTTTAATGCTAATATCTATCAGCTTCCTCCCCATTGGAAAGGTGTTGATGTTCTATGCTTTTTCGTATTTCTGTCGTTTTCTGTCGCTTTCTGACGTTTTGGAGCTGTAGTAGATTCCATAAAAAGTGATAAAAGGGGTTATACAAGAAAAGCAGACTATGTTTTGTCGTTATCTCAATTACTGTTCAATATATATAAATGGAAGAGATAAGAGGACTCTTTCTATTAATTCCATACTTCATTTTCATTCCTCGTTTTATTCTTATTTCTTTATAAACTTTAATTTTTAGGAGATTTCCTCTTAATATGACCAGGAGTAAGGTAACTATAAATGCGGTTGACGCCTCGGATAATCCCTTAGGGTATGTACTTCCGGTTAAATATTTCTATTCATACTGATGTTACAGATCAAATCCTAAATTGGCAAATAGTTCTAACACAATTCATTCCAAGGATTCCAAAGAAGCTTCAGAGTAAGCATTTATTTCCATTTTTAGCTCCTCACTTTCTCAATCTCATCGAATGTAATTCTCTCCTCCCATATCTGTCTCTGTCATAATCTCTCATTCCCCCACACTTTTTCTACACAGAAAGGAAGTTGATTTTAACAGATTTTCTGAGGTTCTCTATTCCTTCACAGATAACTCAAATAGTAATTTTATACGCTTAGCTGAATTACTTATGAGTCATACTATGAAAAAGCACAATTTCTTTATTTATCCAATGATCACAGACTGAGGTCTCGCTTATTGCGCAATATTTCACTTCCCTGCAATACTTACCAAAACTCCGCCTTTTAAAAATTTCGAAATCTATCACTACTCGTCCTTGCTGCATTTCCATTCTGAACATTCTTCGGAAATCGTCGAGTCGCTCTGGTTACTCTTATTCGACGAGTCATCGTCGTTCTTAGTGGACCTTATTGATTTCTACATAAATCTTCATTTCTGTTTCTTCTAAGTCCTTCACACTTTAAAAATGAAGAACTCTCCGGAGAAAAAATCGCTTTTAAAAAGTAAAGCTAAAAGGTATTTCCCAATTGTGCAAAGAGTTTCCTTCTTTTGAGGTTAATCATACTCATCTTAATTTTTCAGTGAGCCGGAACCGAAAAAGGCCTCACTGTTGCAACTGGTTAGTTGAGTTAGTATATAAATCGCTCAAGTTTCTATTCAGTATCGGTACACAACTACTGTTGATAAACTTATGTTGTTACTTGGAACAATAGTATCTATAGGAACCGGTGTAGGAATGCCTCTTATGTCTATCATTATGGTAATGAATAAGGGTTATAAGAGATAATATTCATATATTCCAGGGTAATATTTCACAAAACTTTGTCGATGTTGGACCTGCTGTGTACAATTTCACGATAACCCACAACATAACTTATAAGGATATGAGTAATACAGAATACTAAATCCGATGTTTCATAAAACCTTTCAGATGCCCATGACAGAAAGATGGTCTTGCATAATTTTTCTCATGATGTTATTCAAAACTGTTTGGATTACGTTTATCTCGGTGTTGGAGTTTTTTTCGCTGCTGCTATTCAGGTTCCTCATCTTCATTCGGTTTTTTATTGCAATTGTTCAATTTTCTCAGGCAACATGCTTCCTTATCGTTTGTGAGAATAATGTCAATCGTCTTAGACGAGCATTCCTTAAATCAATTCTTCGCCAAGATATTACATGGTTCGACAAAAATCACAGCGGAACTCTAGCCACGAAGCTTTTCGAGTGAGACATTTAGGAAGCTTTGAAATTCAAGAGCAAAAAAATCGATTGCTGACGTTGACTCCCACGTATTTTTTGATGCATATACTAATTGGAAACAGAAGTCAAACAGCAAAAGATGATAAATGAAAAAAAAGAAAATTCTTGATGATGAGAAATTTCTTTCAGTAATTTGGAGCGTGTTAAAGAAGGAACAGGAGATAAAGTAGGATTAATGATCCAATTCGTCTCTCAATTTTTCGGAGGATTTATCATTGCTTTCACTTACGATTGGAGATTAACTCTCATCATGATGGCTCTTGCGCCATTTATGATTGTTTGTGGTGCTTTCATTGCAAAAGTATGAGATATGATACATTGACTGATGACAATGAAAGAATTCAGCTTATGGCCACAGCTGCAACTCGTGAAGCTAAGAAGTATGCTATTGCTGGAGGAATTGCTGAAGAAGTTCTCACTTCCATGCGAACTGTTATAGCTTTCAATGGACAACACAAAGAGTGTGCGAGGTATCATAATCGGCAAGAAGAATGGGGCATGCATTAACACTGTTTTAGATATGATAAAGCTTTAGAAGCTGGTAAATCTACAGGAATTTTACGGTCTCTCTATGTTGGATCAGGCCTGGGATTAACATTCCTTATTATGTTCTCTTCATATTGCTTAGCTTTCTGGGTTGGAACAAACTTTGTTTACAACGGTAGTATGGATGCTGGTAATGTCATGACTGTACGTTTTTTTCACTCTTCGTATAGTGTTATATAGAGTAATATCAGGTTTTCTTCTCTGTTATGCTGGGGTCTATGGCTCTTGGACAAGCTGGCCCACAGTTTGCTGTCCTAGGTACTGCTTTAGGAGCTGCTGGGGCATTGTATGAAGTTATTGATAGAGTTAGTTTCCATCTAAGTTCAAGATGAAACTGTTGGTGTTTAGATTCCTGAAATCGATTGCTACTCAGAAGAAGGCAAGAAGCCAACTACTCTAAATGGATATGTTAGTGTCGAAAATCTGAAGTTCACCTACCCATCTCGTCCAGATGTTCCAATTCTTAAGGTTGTACCATTTTTTATGACTTTTATCAGGATATTCACTTTAGGGAATCACTTTCGACGCAAAACCTGGACAGACCATAGCTCTGGTTGGATCAAGTGGATGTGGAAAGAGTACAATCATTCAGTTGCTTCTACGTTATTACAATGCTGCTTCTGGAACCGTAAGCCTGATATCCATTTAAAAGATTACATAGATCACATTCTCAGATTACTATCGATGGAGTGAAACTGGAAGATTACAACATTCATTCTCTGAGAAACCTTATTGGAGTTGTATCACAAGAACCAATTTTGTTCAATACTACTATTGAAGAGGTATTCCTTTACAATGAATGACTTTCGTAAATTTTTCTCAACAGAATATCCGTTATGGTAACCCCAATGTGTCTCAACAGGAAGTCATTGAAGCTCTCCATAAAGCCAATGCTTACAATTTCATCAAAAACTTCCCTGATGTGAGTAATTGAGTATAAACGAAGAATGGTTTCCTTTCTTCAGGGACTCCGCACGTTTGTTGGTGACAGAGGAACACAACTCTCCGGTGGTCAGAAACAAAGAATCGCTATTGCCCGCGCACTTGTTCGTGATCCAAAAATTTTACTCTTGGATGAAGCAACATCAGCTTTGGATGCCGAATCTGAGTCCGTTGTACAACAAGCCCTCGATAATGTATGTTACCATTTTTCAACAGTTTAAATAAGATCGTGTCAGGCTTCTCGTGGACGCACCACGATTGTGATTGCACACAGACTTTCAACTATTCGCAACGCAGATAAGATTATCGCTATGAAATTAGGAGAAGTTGTCGAAACGGGAACGCATAATGAGCTTTTGGAGAAAAAAGGACTTTATCATGAACTCGTCAACGCTCAAGTGTTCACAGATATAGATCCAGGTTTAGTTTGACTGGCCACATTTCTTTCTTAACCCGCAAATTTTAGTTGCTGTGGAACGTAGATTGTCTCATTCTCTCAGCAGAACAAACAGCGTATTCGACCAGCCAGCCGAGGTAGCTATCTCAACACGTTGCCAATTTTTAGAGTTCCATAATAATTTAGGATACTGATGTTGTTGATACTACAGCAAAGAAAGGAAATGAACCCGAAAGTCCGGAAAAAGATCTTGAACGTCTGAAAAAAGGTTTCAATTTTGTTTTTTGTACTCTTGCAATTTTTGTTTGTAGAATTGGAAGAAGAAGGGGCTACTAAAGCCAACTTGTTCAAAATCTTAAAGTATGCCAAGCCGGAGTGGTTTTATTTGGTAGTTGCTGTCATTTCGTCTTGTATTCAGGGTTGCGTTTTCCCAGCATTCTCTCTTTTCTTCACACAAATTATTGACGTAAATTTTAAAGACAAAAAGCAAACAACAAGTGTATTATCTTCTAGGTGTTCTCACTTGCCCAAACTGATCCCGAAAAAATGAAGAAAGATGGTCACTTCTGGGCTCTCATGTTCTTAGTACTTGGAGTGGTCGAAGCCGTCACAATGTTATTACAGGTAAAATTCAATTCATCCTAAAAACCTTCTACGTTTCAGTAGTTATATTCGTACTCATATAGTTTTTTTCAAATTAACATAGCTGTCAGTTTTAGTAATGAATAACTTTCAGTGTTTCCTCTTTGGTCTATCAGCCGAACGTTTAACTATGCGTTTGAGATCCAAAGTATTCCGCAATGTCCTCAGAATGGATGCAACGTACTTCGATAAACCTAACCATTCTGCCGGAAAAATTTCCACTCGTTTGGCTACTGATGCACCCAATGTTAAATCTGCCATTGACTATCGTTTGGGATCTGTGTTTGGCTCTTTCATTTCTATCAGTTGTGGTATTGGAATTGCATTCTACTATGGTTGGCAAATGGCTTTATTGGTTTGCTCTTCCCGTTATTTTTGGTATATAATATTTTTTTGTAGGTTATCGCCATCTTCCCGTTAGCTGGTGTCGGTCAATCAATTCAAATGAAATATATTTCGGGCCGTGCAGCTGAAGATGCCAAAGAAATGGAGAACAGTGGAAAAGTTTGATGGAAACTTTAAAAAAAATCAATTCTGTGTTCATAGGTTGCAATGGAAGCTATTGAGAATATAAGAACTGTTCAATCTTTAACTCTGGAAAGGAACCTTCATCGACAGTTCTGTGAGCATCTGGACTTACCCCATCAAACAAGTAAAAGAAAAGCAGTCATGCAGGTTTAGGAATCTTTTCATGCTTTTGTGTAATGCAATTGTTTAGGGATTGTCTTATGGTTTTGCGTCATCCATTTTTTACTTCTTGTACGCTTCCTCATTCCGTTTTGGTCTTTGGTTGATTATATATCACGCTATGGAGCCAATCCGTGTTCTCAGGTAAATTTGCCAGTCAAAACTGTGCTTTTTCATCTGAGTTTTCAGGGTTCTCTTCGCAATCTCCTTCACTGCCGGAAGTTTAGGATTCGCCTCCGCATATTTCCCAGAATACGTCAAAGCTACATTCGCAGCTGGTCTCATTTTCAAGATGCTGGATGAGGTAATAAACCCATTTTTTCTGTAGTACTCATCATTCAAATTGTAGGAGCCATCTATCGATGGAATGACCTCTAATGGAGATAAGCCAAAGTTGAGCGGTCGTATAGAGTTCGAAGATGTCTACTTCCGTTATCCAGAGAGACCAGAAGTTCCTATTCTCCAAGGATTGAACATACAGGTTCGCAACAACAAAAAATAGCTTTCAATATCTGAGATTAGGTCAATCCTGGTGAAACATTGGCTCTAGTGGGCCCTAGTGGTTGTGGAAAGTCCACAGTGGTTTCATTGCTGGAAAGATTCTACGATCCTTTGGATGGTTCTGTGGTATGTCTATAATATTGGAAACAGCGATAGAATATTATTGCAGAGAGTCGACGAAAATGATTTACGTGGAATGAATCCTACTCATCTCCGCTCACACATTGCTATAGTTTCTCAAGAACCTATTCTCTTCGATACTTCCATTAGAGATAACATTGTTTATGGACTTCATGATGGAGAATGGACAGAAGATGACGTTATAGATGCTTGCAAAAAAGCAAATATCTACAGCTTCATTTCGGAATTACCTGACGTAAGTTCATAAGATATGCTTTGCAGTCTTAATTTTGAAAATTCAGGGTTTTGAAACTAGAGTAGGTGACAAAGGAACACAACTGTCCGGAGGTCAGAAACAGAGAATTGCTATTGCTCGAGCTTTAATCCGTAATCCTAAAATCCTTCTTTTGGATGAAGCAACATCTGCTTTAGACACGGAAAGTGAAAAGGTAGGAAAAATCTCACTTGATAAATGTTTAATTGGTGTTCCAGTTGGTACAAGATGCTCTTGATGCTGCTTCTCAGGGACGAACTTGCATAGTGGTAGCTCACAGACTGTCTACGGTAGTTAATGCAAATTGTATAATGGTGGTAACCGGTGGAAAAGTCATTGAAAAAGGTCTGTTCTTGTTACTGTATTGTTTTTTAAACTTTCAAAATTAGGTACCCACAATGAACTTATGGCTTTACGAGGTGCTTATTGGAACTTGACACAGAAGCAAAGTGTTAACCGCGGTGTGAAAGCTGTGGAATAAGTTTTCTCTCTTTATAAAAATTGTACTAAATTTAGTTTTTCCAACCTCATATCATGTTCTATGTTAATAATTGTGATTACAAGCTTGTATTAAGCCATGGATCTCATTTCTTCACGATTTAATAAACTGTTTTTTGTTCTTTTTACTCATGATTTGAATACACTTATTTCGTAACGCATATTGTTGCGAAATAGTGGATGGACGCTCATATCTGAAAAGTGAGGAAATCCAACGACACTATAACGCCTATTGAGCTTGATTGGTGTTGATAAATCAACATGTCCTCTCTGGTAATCTTAACAGCCGTACAGCCTGGGAAAGACAATGAAGACATGGTGCCAAGCTTCAGTGGTCAGAAGAAAAAGATTGGAGTTCATGAATGGTAATTTTCTAAGTTTGATGTTTAATCATTTAATTCAAGCTGGATTTCAACGGACATGCGAGGAGATCTCTTAACATGTACTCTCCATATCAAAAATCATTCTAACAACAACGTTATAAGTTGTATCAGAGGTTTAGATATAGTGCAAGACTTGGACCGGATGCGCTCCAGAGAGGTGTGTTGCTCATATGTGTTTTATTTACCAATGTTATTACAGTTTGAAGATAAAATAGAGCTCCAACCCTACGTTGATACGCAAGTTGTATTATTCTATGAACGTACTGTCAGTAATTACTGTCCGGTGTGTGTTGTACTTAATATTTTTGACCAAACACCCAGGTTTTTCCAATTTAAAAGGTTGAGATCAAACAGTTTTAAGATCTGCCAAATGCTTCGATTTTGTCAGTCCCAGTTTTTCAAATTCGAATGTATGCTTAGTAGTGGGACAAACCAGAATATATGCTCACAGAGAAGTAAGATTTCGTTCTCATGTTCATGATACTTTCCTATTTTGCAGTTTTTGGCATTTTGCTCTCCAGTTTTCGGAGCCATGTTTTCTTGCTATTTTGTGGAAGGGAAAGAAGATGAAGTGAAGCTCAATAATATCGATCCTGAATACTTTTTGATCTTTTTAAATATTCTCTATCATAACTGTAGAAAAGTGAACGGTTTGTGTATATTGATTGTTCCATAGTATGTGAGGAAGTTACAGAAGAGTCGTACATTCATCTGCTGGATTTAGCAGATCAGTTTGATACTGCATGCGTCAAACTACTCTGTGAAGACTACTTGATTATGAATATTTCAACTTGTTCCGACTATTTGAGTGTTTTGCGACTGTGCCATAGCTATAGACTTCAACGACTAATGGTAAATAAGATCTACATTGAACTAATTTAACTTTGAACTAATTTCAGTCACGCATTCAATCCAATAAAATCAGAAATCTGAATATTTTGGACAACAAGGAACAGAAGCTTCTGACACAGCTTATGGATCATAATCTTAAATTCATCGACAAAAAAAAACTTCGAGCGTACAATGTAAAATATCCGTTGATGAGTGAGTATCTGCTCGATTTATCCCAACCTCCTCCAAACGACGATGCGGTACTGTTCATGATAAACGGCTTCAAAATTTATGGAAACAAACAGGTATTATCAAAACGTCATGTCAACAATTAGTTTTTTTTTAGGTTTTATCAATCTTCTCTCCAACGCTGCGAAGTATGGTCGAATCTGCTAAGAACAAGCGAATTGGTATTGAGGGAGTGAGCTATCAAGAGTTCTACCATTTAATCAGTCTGTTATCGCATTCGGTCAAAGATTCACAACGGTTGAACGGTTGGGTTGGCTAGGTTTGAAATTTTAAATATGAATTTTCAGAGTATACTGTGCTACCCATGTTTAAACTAGCGGAAAAATACAAAGTTCAAGTATTACAAGAAGAATGTCGTCTTTTTCTACTTTCTTACGATGGCTATTTCTTGAAGTACAAAGATGTTCTTGTTCTGGCTGATGAAAAAAACTTTGAGGACGTGAGGGTAATGATCATGCAAGTAATCGTCAATCAAATTTATTTTTGAAGGAGCGCATATATGGGCGTATTGCTGAAGTCGCTTCTGCCGTGAAATCATTAACCACAACAAACTGTTTCGACTCCATGCCTGTATGCTCGTTTGCTGTTGAGGAAAGTTACAGCTTTCTTAGAAGATGGTGTTCATAGCTTATTGTTTTATCTCTAAACGCTCGATCGCAAAATACAATAGGTTGAAAGTAATGAAGTTGAATAACACTATTTTCTAATTAAATACAGCTTCCGTTCGAAACGGCATAACTAATCATCTGAGAATATTTGAGTCAGGGAATTCATATGTGTTTCTCGAAAAGTTTCATCTTCTTTGAAAACACTTTCGACTTTTTTGTCTGTTTCGCTCTTATTCGTGTTGAAGCTGATGTTTGGTGGAGAGCTTTTTTCCAGTATTTCTGAAAGTTAGACGTATGGCGAATAGTTCTGGAACTCACGTCTCATTTTCTTAAACTTGTCAATGAGTAATTTTAGACATCTCCATGAATCATCGATTATTGCTGGTGTGGACTTTTCGAAATTTACAGAAACTCGAATGAGTACATGCTCTTGAACCTAAACTGATAATAGTGAACAGCAACAGAATTTATATACTTTGGTCAAGGTGAAGTACATCAGTCTCGATCGGTTAACAAAACCACAGAATTCTCTAGTGAGATCATTAACATGGTGTTCAGATAAATTAGCTTCCTTAAAATATTCTTTAGAAGCTAACGTAAGTATAAACCGACCACATATTGAAAACAGAAAAGAGCATGTTTTCGTTTACCGAAAATTCTACAATTGGGATGAGTTGCAACCAAATTTTCGAAGTATATAGCACTATCAATGAGCTGAAAAAACAATTATTTCTTAGTATTTAGCTACCGAAATATACATTTTGGATATAATTTTGTAATCCTCGAATACCATACAAACGAAAGACAAACCATGATTTCAAACAAAGAAACCGTCTGCTCAGGGATACTCCCCAGTCTCTGAGATCATTCGAGTTGTCTGGATTCTACTGTATTAGAGTTATATTGGGTGGAATTACGGTGAGTAGGTTGAAGATAGACGGGATCTATACGAAAAGCATTCTTATAGACGTTTTGATCTTTCACCCATAACATACAACAACCAACGGAATGCTGAAGAAGTTTATGTGCGTTTACATTCAGAGAGTCAACATGTTCGATTCCCCTACTGTAACGTCATAAAATATGAACGTTCTGAATTATTCAACAAACCTCTCATACCTATACTTAGGAATTATCCATGTGCTCCCAGAATACGCTGCATCAACATGTATCCACATATTGTACCTGAATCGTTCTTGATAGTTTTTTTGAGAGTAACCTTACTTCTTTGCTATCGGCCAAATAGTATCCAGATGATCTGATGCTACTGTTGAAGTAGTCCCAAGGGTGACATGGATATGCAATGGAATAAAACCACTATCGATGTCCTGCGAGGAAATAAAAAGATAGTGATTAAGAAAGTGTTCTCATTTACTTTTAGGACTTCGATTTCGATCTCACGACCAGTTAAACCAAATTCATTTTCTACTCGTGTTTCAATTTTCCTACAGTTCATCATTGTGAGTTTGCATCCCTTTTCAATCGAAGAATGAGCCTGTTTTTTTAGTAAAAGATAGATTAAATCTTGGAAAGAGTTTCACCTCTTTACTTGTATAAACAACGAACTTTTTACAGAAATCATGATTTCTTTGAAGGATATCTCTTGATACATCTGATTCTTTGCGATGGCCTACCAGCTTTAAAGGAAACGTGACCGTATTAGAAAAACAAAATGAAACTTTACTTCTCCTAGTTTTCGATGACGTGAGGCCAACAGTACATTATGAATAGCGTCAGAGGAGGATTCTAAGAGGCACCCGCCTCCTTTACTACTTTCAATGGGCTCCTAAAGTAAAAGAAAATTAAAGCCAAGAAATGTATTTCGAACTTGAAAAAGGAATGTTTCGGGTATTCCTAGAGCTCTACCAACCCAGTTAGTCATACTATGTTCCATTTCCGTCAACGCTGGACAAGAATCCTATCAGTGTTCATATCACACTAATAATTTAAAAGTTCTTACCCAACTGAATCCAACGACACCCAATGATGAAATAGCCAAATCAGCTAACATACAAGCATAGTTTCGTCCGGCTGGGAAATATGCATGGAAACGAGGATGCTGCCAGTGGGTTAGCTGGAATTACTAATTTTTTTGAGAGTCTACCGCTAAATACAAGCGAACCCCGTTCAAAACAAGATGCTCAAAGTCAGAGCAAACGTTCTCAAATCTCTCTGGGTTATCTGGCCCCGTTTTAGAAATTTTCTTGAAGATATCACCTGGTTTGACGTCTATTAAGCATGTTATTACTCTGGACAATGCTTACAATCCGAAACCTGCTGTTACATTATGACTTTCTGGATTACTCGCGTATCCGGCAATGACACTTGCGAGTTTTTGTAAATGCGAAAAGAACTCATCTGTTTTGATAGGTTCATTTACAATCTAAATTAATTCTGTTTCTGCTATCGCAGTTTCAATACCTCATAGGTCGATCGTTGCTTTGGCTTTGTGATAACCCATTCAATTTCAGATGTTTGCTGGGATCCTGTTTCCACAATATAATCATTGAGACTGACAGATTTCCTGACTTACAGCGTTTTGAGTCGTAGTTAAAGCTCGCGCACCTATTCTCCTTGTTTAGTTTAGTATCATTCTCGCAGTTCTGTTTTATCTTCATGATTGTTTGAGTCTCACAGACGCCGTTTTTCCTGGTTGGGTTTTTTGAAGAAGTAGGTTTTCTCAGGGAATGTTGCCGCGGTTTTTTCTGGTTTGTACATTTCTTAGTAGAAGCCCTTTTAGTTCTCCAACAAGAAAATGTACAAACACAAAAGATTGTTAGAAAAAACAGTACAGATGACATAACAAGAGCATTTCGCTGCTGAATCAGTCTGTTGTTTTGTTTTTACAAAAAGAAGCCTACCATGTTAGGCGTATGATCCACTACGAGTAACATCTACAAGAAGCACTAGTACTTTACAGAAAATTCAAAAAAAATAAACCTCTTCTTCGACATCTAAATCGAACTTGCTAATTGCTTTGAGCACTAATTGGTGAATTGTTCCTGGTTTCATCTGAATATCGGTAATATACACCTGAATGAAAAATCTTATACTTACGCTCTTATCCAATGTTACAGTGGCGACTTCTGTGTTGTTGAGGATGATGTTCAAGCAATATGATTTGGCTCTGAAAAAAATTGTGAAACTGGAACTTGTGCTGAAATAACTTCAAAATCAGGAGAGGAACCCTGTGCAGTTTGTAAAAGTGGTTAGAGTAATCCAGAAGCCAATTGCAGTTTGATTTTAGAGGAACTGTTTGATTTGATATAACTATAGGCACTTCTTCATTTAATATTTTTAAAGTCTTATAAAGTTATGTTAGAAAGAATGAGTAATCTAGAAAATACCTTGAGAAATAGGTTATTAGTGAGTCCTGCGTTAATCACGTTGACTGGTTTAGTGGAATACAGATCACTGGCGGATAATGAAAAAAAGAAATTGTGAGCAAGTAATAATAGAAATATTAAATGATGGCAGCCGGTCCATTTCAACATGATAATTCAAATGAAATAATCCACGTGAAGCAATCACGTAGGCTAATCAAAGCTTTCTCGCTTTATAAAGACCACATAATCATACAAGAACTTGTTTTTGAGGAAATGGTATTTGACCCGAGGGACCAGTTGAAATCGCTCCATCAGAGGTGCCAATTCATCAAAAACATCAGAATGAAAAAAGTACTGATTAAACAATTGGTGTTTATGCTCATAATTACGAAACAATAAAAAGAAAAAAACCTATCAAGATTCTTTGGATACCCGTTCTCTGAAAATCCACATCTAGATTAGCATAAAGTGAGATTTACTCCCGTGTGATTTACGTGTAATCACTGTGTTGCATATAACTTCACAGAATGGCTGATTTCAGTAGTAGCGAAATCGGGTCAGAGGATACAGATATAACTCAGATAGAATGTAAATTTGTTTTTAAATAATACCTGTACAAAAACTGTAGATAGATATGAACAATCCAGTGGTGAGTTCTCATTGAATTCCTTTATACAAATTAGTATTGTATTATCAATCTTCTTACACTTCTTCGGAATATGTCATGAGGTATATCTTCTTATCATTCTTCTCTTTGTGATGATTTCAGAAAATCTATCATTTCTTGATTATATTTCCCAGTTCTGCTACAACACTGAAAGTATTAACCGATGAAAACACTTTATATGACACACAGGTTATAAGATATGCATATTACTACTTATCAACTACAGAGAACTGTTCTGCGTTACTGGTGCTTTTTCTGTCTTTTTTGGACTCTTGATCTCTTCATCCCATTCAACTATGTGTATGTGTTGAGCGTCCAAGCAATTTTTAAATTCTTTTTGTTCCAGCTATTCGCTTGGTAAACTGTTTCTGCATAACTATTTTCTTCAGCGAGTGTTCAGGCCGAACTCGCTATACAGTTATAGAACGAAACATCTTCGAACAAAACTCGAAGTAATATTTCATTGATAGGCCCATAAATCTCAATTACTTCAATATAGACGCCTGTGAATGACTATAACAAATTCAAGTTCTTGGAGCAAACAGAACAAAAACAAAACGGAGTATACTCTCAGTAAAACCTTCAACTGCCTTGTGAAGCGCTGGCATCGCTCATTTAAGGATAGAAACTGTAGATAAGGAACAACTTCTAAATATACTTTATTTTGCCAAGTTACTTCTTAATGAAAACAAAAAAAATGAACCCATACTTCCTCATGTGTTAGTATATGTTATTGTTTGGTCGATCATTAGATGGAGCGATTTCAACTGGTCTATCATAGGTTAAGAACTAATTTTCCAAAAACATGGGAATGAGAAATGTGTGCTTGTGGTTAGGGAAATTAATGAGTGGTACAAATAAAACAATCATTTTGTATCTGCCGATCTCATATATTGTATATACTACTCACAGACTACCACCGAGATGGACTGTCCAATGTAAGTTTGTAGTTTATTCTTATATTAACTGATCTACTTTTCAAACTGATGGTGTTGCCGCCAAAGGTCAGTGGACAGAAATGGTTCCGGTTATGGTTAGGATAGGTTAAATCTTTTGGCCGTTCGGGACTGTTTAATATTCACTTATCAACTGTATATCTTATTACCTCATTAATCATCTGGTCTTAATTCAATTATACAGTTTTGAAAACTTAATAAGTTTCAGTGCATGATTTCCCAACCACAGCAATGGGAACAGTATTATGTGGGGGACCACTTAGCTGCTGGTAACCCCTACATGCTACCGATGCGGCAGACTGAGATCGGCCATGATTATCATCGAAGTAAGCTGAGAAAACCTCAGGGTTTTCGCAAGCGTGATTACAGAAGTAATGGTTCCAGTTGCTCCTGCTATGATTGCCATAACTCCTAATACTGTGCCAAATTCTCTTGCCCCTGCTGTTCATGAACCAATTGAAGCTGGATGTCTTCCTTCATCTCATAGAAGAAGACGTAGTGGTTCATATTCGGAAGTTCCTGCTGAAAAGGTTAAAAACCTATAGATGTGTTTTTTTATGATCCCATGAGTTAAGGCTCCTGCAGCTGCTGCGGTTGCACGACGTTCTGGAATCACTTGGGAAACTATGACTGATGAAGAACGAGAGGAAGCACAACGTATCAGGAGGTGAGTGATGTGTTAAGTGCAGGTATTAAATTTGATCAAAGATTGTATGGCTTTAGAAAAGAAGAAGCATTCAAAACAGCTCTTTGTGATGCTTACAAAAAAAACGAAGCTTGTCCTTATGGAGAAAGCTGTCGTTTTGCTCATGGAGAGAATGAGCTTCGACTTCCTGCGCAAGTAAGAACACGAATAATTTCTAAGCTGTCTACTCTTGCTTTAGCCTCGTGGAAAAGCCCATCCAAAGTATAAAACCCAATTGTGTGATAAATATTCCGCTCAAGGACACTGTCCATATGGTCCACGATGCCAATTTATTCATAAGCTCAAAAAGGTTTTAGTTCACTTTCCTTTTTTATCTTATAGTTAGTTTCAGGGACTGCCTTTGTTGGATTATGAAACATTGCTGGCTCAAGGTCGTATATCACCAGCTAGGGAAGATGAAATTACTAACGGCGATAACTTCTCTGTTCCTAGAAGATATATTCCTAGCCCATCAAAACGGTAATTCTTTTTTGGGTTTCAATACTCTTCCGTTAGTAGGAATAGCGGCTCGGGTAGCTCAAGAAGACTTTCTTATGATTCTGGAAACGGTAGAATGAACGGAAGTCACGAAAATAGAACTGATGCTCCTGTTTACCCTAAGATGCAAGTCATAAACATCGAGAAAGCTTATCAATCATCTGATCATGCGAAACCCAGAGATGGTTTGGAGCAGATTCACGTTATTAAAATTAAAAATAATTCTTAGGAAGAAGCCGTAGACGATCTTGCGTCACTGTTGATGACATGGATCATGATTTCAAAGTTATTGATGGAAATTCTATGGGTCAAAGGTTAGTGAATTTTGTTGACAGAAAGGTACATGTTTTTTTCAGGACAGCTTCAATGATGTCACTTACTTACCGCGGTTCTACTGAAAACTTAACATATGCGGGTAGAGGAAAAAATCAACGCTCTCCTGATTTATCAGCCATCAAGGAGGAAGGGGAAGAAAACATTGATAGGTACACATCATAGTATCGTGCAGGCAACAATTTTATAACATTTCAGATTCAGTTCCATGTCTGTGAGAGGATTAACCAAAAGAGAAGCAAATAATCCCAATCATTGGTCCGAAATGATTTTCGGACGACGTATGGATGTAATTAACGAAGATGATAAGGAGCAACATACTGGAAGCGGTTCGAACGCCACTGATACCGCATTCTTCAGTGAAAGCTGTGATGAAGAACTTCTTGCCCAAGGACTGTATAATAAACGGTAACTTTCAAAAAAGACTAACGAATATTATTCGGACAATTCCAGCTATCCTGATGCATCAGTAGAAAAACTGAAGCAATGGAAAAATAACAATTGCTAGATGTCCTAAGTATTCAGAGTTTGTGACATACACCTCCTGTATTGTCAAAAAATTATTATCAAATTTACACCTTTTTGTAAACAAACTTTTAATCTGGAATGTTTAAGATGTTTTATCAAAACCAACACTAATGTATTGGGGGACACCTAGTAGCCCTATCTTTATTATCCCGTGTGGCCTCTTAATATTTTTTTTTATAAGATTTACTTTGCAATCCTTAGTTCTAGCAAGCTGGGGCATAGGCCAGCGTATTATTGCATGTTTCACTAGTTAAACACTTGTATACTTATTATAATCTTGTGAGTAATATGTTTCAATAAAAGTTTCTACTATACTGATTAACATAAATTATTCCCGAAAGATTCAAATCGTGTGTTAACGCGCTCTTTCGCTAACTGCGCGCGTCAGAACAAAATCAATATTCTGAGTTCTATGCAGCTGGAGAGCGGTTGATTCAATCTTGTCTAGTCCGTTAAAAGGCTTATTTGCTTTATTTATACTATTATGATTAGTTAATTCTTCTGTGTATCAGTCCAAAGCTAAAATTGTGTAAATTCTCTAATTTCACAATAAAACGACGGTTTAATCCTTTTTTTCCCATGTCCCTTTTCTCTACCTTTCGCGGCTTATTCTCGTCCAGAATCTTTTTCTTGAAACCGTATGTAACTGATACCAAGATAACTTGATAATGTGTTGCGATGATGGCTCACAATGTGGGTAAGAGATTGAATAAAAACCTTACTATTTCTAATGCCAATTTGCTAAATTTGTTTGATATCTCTTCATCATATAGCTTCCATTTCAGGGTTTGCGTCTCGTCGACCGAATTCTTCAAAGTATATTTCGAGGTTCCACATTGTGTTTATATCTTCCAATATCATAGTTTATTTTTGAAGTTCGGTGTCATCTGAAAAATGGAAGTAGATGAACCTGTGCCTTCCACAAATGCCACTATACAGGAAAAATTGGCCGCAATAGCCAAAGAAGAAGTTTTAGATTTAGATTATGAAGAGCCTATAGAGCAAGAGGTTAGATTAGCTATTTGAATATTCATCAAAAAGAATTATAGGAATCGGATTCTGGTGAAATACCTGACTCAACACCTCCTTCCCCATCCAAAAGGTTACTTTGAATTTTTTCTGCTGATCATTTCAAAATGTTTTCAGTGAAGTTAAAGAAGAGCGTTGCTCGTCGGAAAAGGAAGAAGGTGAATTGGAAGAAGGAGAAATATCAGATAGCGAAGATGAAGGCGAAATAAAAGCTAATGGAGTAGATGAATATTCATCCAAAGGAAAAATTCCAATAACTGTAAGTTATTTTTTCTATGTCTTGCGGTGAATGTTGATATTTCAACTTGCTAGACCAAAACTTGCATGTTTTCTGTGATTTGTGATAGTGTCGTAATAGTTCCACCTTATTTACAATTAAAGTCCTACCGACAATCACATTTCAAATAGATTACATACAGTTTGGTTTAGAGTCGGCTAAGTAGACCGAACACGGCTAACGTGGTAGTTTCGTTTCGAAAAGAGGGTGGGTCTCGTAAGCGTAAGGTTCGTACTGGAAGACTTTCAGTGTAAATTCCTCAACTATATTTCATGTTTCAGAATAGAAACAATCGGAATAAACTTGATAGAGACAAAGGCAATGGTATACTCTTCATCAAGTGGACATTTACTTAACTCATTTTTTGTAGAAACATCTTGGGAAAGAACGTTGCGTTCAGCAAGGGAAGCATTGACCAGAGATTCACAGCCTAGAGATAGTTTTCAGTATGCTACTTCTTTCTTTACCTTTTTATACACTCAGTTCAGGCGTTCGAAAAGTAGATCATTGTCTCCCGAGTCTTGTCAAATTCCATCATTGCTAGATTTACAAATGTCTCCACCTCCGAAGTTTAACTCATCCAGGGTGGCACCAAAGGGTAAGTGCGAGCATTTATGTTGCATGACTTTGCATGATTTTTGTTGGGACGCTTCAACTAACACGAACAGGTCGTCGAAATCCTCACCCAAAGCGTTCTCCTATCAACTGGAGCTTGCGTAATGTCGTTCAGTCGTCATCGTCCTCATCATCGTCATCGTCCTCCTCATCGTCATCCTCCTCCTGCAGTTCAGAATCGTCATCCCGAGAATCCTCTGTTTCCACATCAAATCGGCAACGTAGGGAACGATCCTTCTCTGTTTCCGATCGTGATGGTAGTTTATCTTGCATGCTTAATAATGAACTAGTGATTGTCCTCGCTTTTGCATGCTACTTCTTAATACGTTTGCTTACCTGGTTCGTTTAGACTTGGGTCCACAAGTGATTTATCCTAATGGTCATCCAAACCGTAGAAAGAATGAGAATATGCGTCGTAATTCTGGGAAGAATAGTTTGAAGCATTCTCCTCGAAGATCTCCTTCGAAACGACAACGTGAATCTCCGGGGCTCAAAAACTCTCCTCCAGCGAAGCGTCAAGGGTGGGTTATTTTGTACGATAATTTATTATTTAAACTCTCTTCAGGTTTTCACCAGTCAGAGATGCATCACCGATCAGTAGTGAATCTGATAGTTGGACGAGAGATGAAAATTTTGAGTCTAAACGAAAAAAAAGTAATTCAAACGACTTTCGACTTTTTTGTTACTACCATCTTTAGACAAAGCTGACAATGTTTCTAGCATAATAAGTGACCCGTGGGCCAGAAAAAAAACTGTCGAGAGACCCGATGAGGAGAGGAAGAAAAGATCATCTGATCGGTATAAATTTCCCCGTTTAATGAACTGAGTTTCCTTTTTTAAGCTCAAGTTCTTCAAGTTGCCCTGATGATAGATCGATTTCACGATCTAGCTCGTCTTCGGATGATGGAAGGAGAAAAGTATCTTATTAAGATTGACATTTTCGTTTTGATAAAGCGAATTTCAGAATAAAACGAAGTCTCCTCCTCGTGGCGACATAAGTTACTACAGAATTCCGAAAAAAGCCCGACAATCTGCAGGATCAGATGTTTCAAGGTATTCACATCACATTTTGAACTCTTCTTCATTGTCATGTTCTAGCCGGAGATCTCGGATCAGTGGGGATTCGAGAAACCCTGGTCGTTCGGACTTTGTGAGTTTTCTATCTAATCTAATGTTTTTTATTTGTTCAATTTTATTTTCAGGACAAGTCTAATAAATATGACAGGTTCAAAAACAGACGATGCTCTCCTTCTGAACTAGTTGAGAAAATTAGTGATAGTGAGGTATGTTAATCTATATCTTGCAATATATAAGCACTTTTATTAGTCTGACAGCGAAAACTCCAAAAAACGTTCTAGTTCGGGATCTGCATCATCACGATCCAGCATGTATGACGTTCATTTGAATTATATGTTTTCATACGAGAATTTCAGTTCTAGGTCGTCATCACCTGCTCTTCCCGCCAAATATAGGGTTAATGTCAGTAAACCTAGAAGTGCATCACCCATAAGTGAAGACGATGTAGATAGTCGGAAAAGGTTTGCTACTAGTTTTAATATGTTTCCGCTAGTAATGAACTATTCAGTAGTGTATCACCAGCAAGAAACAGTCCTGTGAAGCACAAGTATGTGCCTGATCCTGTGGCTGTTTCTCCCATATCTGATGATAGTCCAGAACCAGAAGAGCGTTTCAAAGAGGAAGCTACATTGGGTATTCAAGAAACTGTTGCATCGAAACCTCGACCTGCATCTGCGAGAACCCCTAGTGGAAGTCCGCCTCCTTCCTCCCCTCCAGCTAAGAAAATAAAAGATGAAAAAGGTATAATCAGTGAAAACTTTTGTGGTAATGTTATTTTATTCAGTAGATTCGGTTCAAGCAGAGAAAATAAGAAGAAAACAAGAGCTTCAGGAAGAACTCAAGCAAATAGAGGCAGAATTAGAAAGGAAAAGAGCCTCTCAAAGCAGTTCTTCCACTTAATGAACGGTTAGATAATAAAATCAATGTGCAATTCGCCTTGAGTGATATATTGTTTCTGGGAAATGATTTGGGTTCAAATTTTTCTGTTTTATTTGAATGATCATCATTAATTTAATATTTATTCCATGTACAGTTCATAGAGTGCACAATGTTGCTAGTCTTTGATTCGATTTGAGCATTTCTGTTTTTCTTTAGTGTTGTCATACTGAACCCATAATGAATATGTGTATTAATAAATTTTTCGCTTCTATATTGAGGATAAGTATCAAGTTGAATCTGTAGTTATCGTTTCAACATCGAGATTGTACGTTTCAATAGTCCATGTCAGATAATGGCAACAGAGGCCACATTGGGCTACTTCTTCTTGGATAACGTTGGCAAGAACTATGTATACCGTGGTAGAGTGAGGCGGCAGAAGAAAGTCAATCATGTTCGTGATAAATTGACTAAAGAAGACAAACAGAACATGAAGTAAGCTTTGTTTCTCTCGTTTTTAAAGTGACCATCGTTTCAGATATTCAGACTTTGAACCCGTATATAAAATGTGGTGTGAGTACTATTCGGATTTGGCTGGACCCTCAACGAAAGAGGGAGATGATCGTCTTTTGAAGGTACGAACGGAAGCTTTAAGAGATAAAAACTTTTTCCAGGCTGATTATCACGGAGCTCTATTCTACATCGCTGATGCTGACAATAATACGATGGTATGCCAGAAAAGTGAATAATGAATACATAGCTTTAGGTTGGAAAGCATGGAATTGTTTGTTTGGAAACGAGATACACGTTCCAAATAATCACAGAAGAAAATAAATATTTAGGTTTGCTTATATGCGTATTCTTTCTTATAGAGAGATTTCAGTTATACCCAAACAAGGCAGTACATTCCAGTTTATTTTAAAGAATAGAGTTTTCACAATTTTCGGCGATGCTCTAAAATACCGCCCTTCCCTCAGAGGGAAACGACAGCGCCTACGCTCTGCCTTGCCTTTCTTGTTGAGATAGGAAAATTCTTTTTCCAGGTCTTATCATTTGCTCGAATATGAGCGGAATAATAAGAATGTTCAGTTGTTGTGTTAGAAGTTCTTTTATTGAACTTGATATTCTTGTTGAATGAATGTTCGTATAATTAAGGGATGGGTTTATTAGAATCTGATTATGGGTTCACTCTCTGCAAACTTCCAAACATCCATAACGATGAGCAATGTACAACAATTGTTAAACGACCTTCGAACCTCGAATGTCTCGGCATCTTCAAAAGGATCTGTAGATCTGTAGTTTGCTCGCAGATTTTGGAAAGGGAACACTTCATTGTGCCATCAAATGATAGTTATTCGTTATCATGTAGTCATTTCTTTCCAAAATAGCACACCCACATAGGTTAACGATTATTTTATTAACTATTATTAGGAAATAATAAACTATGATGCGCTTTAAATGAAAACATCATATGAACTTTCCAGAACAATTGCAAGTTCAATTAAGTGATAAAGCTTTTCTCTCAATACTCTGGGGTATCCATGTCGAGTATTATATTATGTTTTGATTGTTTTATGAGGTCTTATTTTCCAGTAACTGATATCTCGATATCTCTCAAAATTCTGAGAACAATTTCTTCACGATATGGAGCAGCCGCAACTTGAACGTTCACGGGGAAACCAACGGTATCCTGAAATGACCGTTGTCAAAGAAGTTGATATACTCTTAAGTTCACCTTGCATGCTCTCTTAGCTTCTTTATACCAAGCATCTGTTTGTGGATACTCGTTTTCCAACTTATCCTCGTCTTCTGGTTTAACTTTCGTAACGTTCACAACTCCTATGCAATCACTTTTTATGATTAATAGCACATTGATTAATACCTGCGCCAAAATCTAACAGATTGAAGATACACGTGTAAGTGACAGCAGAGAAGAGCTTACATGGTGATGCATGTGGTGGGGCTACCATTACCTTAATAAAACAATAAGACAATTGAGTTGTTTTTTCATCTACCTGTGGTGGACAGAGTATAGCATCAACTCCGTCATTCATCATCTGTCCAACGAAGGCATCACGGTATGACTCAATTTCTGCGTAAGCTTCCCGAAGTTCTTTAAGTAAAGGTTTTTTTTGTTTAGTTTCTTATCTAAATACCCAAAGTGCTGAGTGTCATCGCTTCCATGACGTTAGCCAAACGGGGGAAGACGAATCTTATGGGAATGGCGATCAATCTTTGAATCCAGATAGGAATAGCATAAATCATAGCTTGTGTGTATAATGTAGGCTCCATGATATCCTATGATGAAAAAGTTTTAACGTTCTTGTACTAATGACTCACTGTCAAGAGTTTGTTCAGTACGAATTGACCTCCATCCACACATAGGGCTCGAATATACATTTTGAACATTTGTGCTACATTAGGTGGACGGAATGGAACCACAGTGTGACCGGCTTTTTCCAGAATTTCTTTCGCTTCCAGAACGGCTCTCTATCAGATTGAATATTGCTGCTTTCGTAGGGGGTAACAACTTACTTGAACCGCTGGCACAGGTGTGAACCATCCGTCGTCGACGTAGTATCCAATTTTATACTTGCGCCCTTCTTCATACAAGCTTTCATTAAATTTCACAGGAGGGCAGTATGGATCTTGATCTGACTGGAAACTATCGCCCCAAACCTGTAAATCTTCATACAATAAAAAACAACGATAAAGTGGTAACATAAAGTTGTGAATCAAAACAACCAGTATGTTGTGAAAGATAATTTTTCTTCCCATACCTGTCTTAAAAATTCCACGTTAGTTTTCACATCTCGGCACATTGGTCCATCGTTGGCGTTGATGAGCGGACGTCCAGGAACAGCTCCAGTGACACCACGGTGAGCAAAACGTAAGTGAGATGGCTTAATGAACAGGTTAGTTTTTTTTTTTAAAAATTGAACTTACCTTAATTCCAGCCATTCCCGTAAAGTGACAAGGAATTCTGATTGAACCGCCAACGTCTCCACCGATTCCTTAAACAAGTATGTTAGGCATTCTCCATCTCTATAGAAAACCTAATATGGATCCTTCAGCAGACAATATAGCTGATTCTCCTCCTGATGATCCACCAGTGGTTCTCGTTTTATCCAGCACATGGTTCGTTGCTCCTAGAAAGAGCTGTGGTGCAAAGTATCATTAGTACGGCCTTACCGTAAATAGGATTGCAACTGTTGTAAGTCAACAAGGACTGGGGAACATTAGTTTCAACAAAAGGTATGCATCCTTAACATTATTGTTACTTTTATGTTGTGAAAAAACTGAAACCAAGTTTTTTGACGTGAGTGATGAGGATAGAGTCATTTTCGCAAGGTTTGAACAGATCTTGAGCGAAGCCACGAGTGACGTCGTAGCCTTTAACCTGTAATTCGCAATTGACATATAATCTTGGCGAATATATATCTCACAGGTACGCATTCTTTCACTGAGATAGGTATTCCGAAAAAGGCTGGCTTCTTAAAACTGGGGTCCTTTGCTTTCTCATCCCATTCTTCAGCCCAACGTTCAGCTTCCTTTAATCAAATACTTTACGGAAACTCGGAATGAAGAGAAACCTTCATGAAAAGTGTGGCACAATTTGTTTTTTCTTGCGCTATAACTCCTTGATGGAAATATGTTTGCACAGCCTGCACAGCAGTGATTGTACCTCTTTGCAATTCATCTATAATATTATTTTTATGCAGATGAAGAGAACTTAAGTGTACTGACCTCTCAATTGCTCAAAGTTCCAAGATGCTATCCTGTCTCTTAGTACAGAGTCAATTTTGGAAGAAACCCGCTTGGCCATTTCAATACTCTCTTCTCGTTCTCTCTGTCTTCTTGCAATCATTTTTTCCAAATGTTCTCTTCTCTTTAAACCAAAATAATATAACTATTTGCAACTTTATAAACTCACGGCGCATCTTTTGACATACTTGTGATAAGCATAACCAGCTAAACCCAGTAAGAATAGAAGGATGTATCCACAACACATCTCCATCTGAACGAAAACAATATTCTTAAGAATATTAGGATGGATCATAGATGAGCTTTATGTAAACTTTGAATGATAGTTGCAAAGGTTTATGAGGGATAGATAGATTCATATCCAAAGTATTCATATACATAGTTGTAAATCTATATATGTTCATATATAACTTATAATTAGCCTTTGGTGCATGATTTTGCAAAACTTCCAAGTAAAGAAAACACCAAATTTGCAAAAATGAAAGTTTCAAATGAACAGGATCAATAGATTGACTTAGTGTAAAGAACAAATATGTCTTTCCATCAATTGAAACATGTTTTATGTTGCATGGAATGGTTATTTCAACAATTGTTTTCTTATCAAATGTATGAAAAGAAAGCCATGTTGAATTGTAAGACTTCTCGAATGTTGAGAAGAATTGCCGAGTTCTTCGAATATCTCGAAGTGAGGGCTTTATCGGAATGAATGCGATGTCGGGGAAAGTTCGAGCAAAAGTACGTTGTGGCAACAGAAAGCTGAGAGAACAGTGCTAATCCCACATGACGACAGGTTCAATTCAAATAAAATTTGATATTGACTGATGCTTTTTATGATGATTGAATGGTAAGGAGCTAAGTAAAGTAAGGAGCTTTTCGACGGAAAAAAAGGACTCGAACTCAATGAGCTGATTTTTCAGACAGATTGACCGTTTTTAAAATCTCTTGGGCGGAGACTGGAAGTGTGATGTGTGATTTGAAAAATTTTTAAGTGGTAATCAAAAAAGTCGTAAGGAAATGATATTTATATCTTTATAGTAACTATATCAGAATCTGAATTTTTAATGTTTTCTTCGTAAAAAATCTTTCTTTGATTTCTTTTGTGATGGAAAACAATCTCATTTATCAAAGTTAATCGTGAGGCGTTACCTTTGAAGCTTTTTGTGATAAATTAGCAGTTTGGAGTTTGTTGCTCAGAGGTTGAACTACAATATCATAAAGTAATGTATTTGAAAGTTTATGATATCATTATACACAAAAGTGATTTCGAAGGCTTTGTCAAAGGCGATTCATTCCATATTTCCGGCTCTCTGATTTCATAAGAACGTTTTTCTATCGCACTCGGCTTTTCTCTTATGATTAACTTGATGGTAAATATACAGTGAGAATGTCCGAAGTAAATTGATAAGACGTTTATAGATCACATAACTTGGTTCGAACGCAAACAATGACTGGACTGATGCTGAAGTGATTCATTTTAACACAAAAAAATCTACCTGATTCATGCAGCTGAGCCGATGTTATAGCAACCCATCTTTAAATGTTCCTATGTTTGGCATTTGCAAAATGCATTTGCAAAATTATATGTTATGGGGTTTCAGATCGGTAATACCGAGTTGTATGTCTATTCTAAATCACAGAAACTAGTTGATGCGGTTTCAACAGCTATGCTCACCTCATTGTGAAATATATTCCATGTAATACATCGGAACAACCTGTAACAAGCAACTCGTCAAATGCTTAACGCATCAACATATTCAGAACTACTTCACGTGATAAATTCACATGCACTACCTCATCTCACACGCTCACTGGCGATAAACATCCGAATGACTTTCGTTCTGGGTTTACGTGAACCACCGCTCATTAGCTCAAAAGGTATCGAATGATTTTACATTACGCTCTTACATGAACCACCGCTCACTCGCCCTGAGTGTATGAAATGATTTCACATAACGCTCTTACGTGAGCCAACACTCATTCGCCCAGACCGTATCGAATGATTTCACATAACGCTCTTACGTGAACCAACGCTCATTTGTTTCGAGTTCTACAAATGATTCTCCATTGTCCCATTATGTACCCCACAACTCATTCCTAAAGAAAGTTCTAAATGGGTTCCAGCTATACGCTTGCGTGAACCATAGCAAAAAGCGATTGTACAGTTCAAAAAGAACATATTCAACTGCTCGAAGGGTTGGAAAGTCCAATGTATTCTTGTTATAGGATTACAGAAACGTTTCGTTGAAAGGTATATCACTTTACTGTAGTGGTGATAAAGGCATTGAAAACCAACTATTCCCTCCCACGGTTGACGATTTGACAAACTTGGGTAAATGAGAGAGAAGACGGGACCAGGTGGTCTGACGTCTAATTCAAACTGACACATCGCAGCTGAACTGTCTTTGATGTAGCCGCCAACAAACAATCTCTTTTACCTCGTCGTCTGGTCAGAAGCATTTCCGAATACTTTTCTGCTTTCTCAGTGATCAAGTTCGACATGTAATCGGTCATCAATTGCGTTAATGACAATAAATTGAACATGAGAAATAGTTTACAGATGGTCTAGTTGAGAAAAGAAACATACACTCGTATACAAAAGAATGATGAGAGAACTGTACGGAAAACGAGAGAATAAGCTTCAAATTTGTGTTTGATCCGAACATTTCATCTGATTGATGAGTTTATGCGACCATAATCTTCCTCTTCCATCAAGCCTTCTGCAGATAAACTCAAGTTGAACCCGAACTGAACAATAAGATGGAAAATGCAAAAGTTCGATGAACATCAATTCCCATACAAACATATAGAAAACAAGACATAAAATATGTAAATTTATTTTTGTATTCAAAGTTTTCGTTTGTTCAATCTTATCTATCCTGGTCAATAGCATAATTAATCAAGCTTAACGATTCAGTTTTTCTTCATCTTGCCTCTTTCTTCAGATGTCAATGGAAATTAATGACAGAACGTCGTCACCATCTTCTAACTCCTCATTATCGCCATGATGTTGTCAAGATTCCTCATGCGAATGGAAAAGATGAGAGAAACTGCAAAAGTTTCGAAGATGGAAAAAAAAGTTTTTTTTGTTTGAAACATAAAAAAATGAAAAAATCCAAAACGATTGATGTGTATGTGACTTATTTGTATTGTCCATCATCTGTCATTATAACTGCGACGAATAAAAGAAAAGCCGACAACAAGTTGATTCAGATGACACATTCTTCATCAACTAAACTAAATAAGGACATGTGATTGATGAATAAGATGTTGTTCTAAGAAAATATTCAAATGCATATTACTTATAGTCTATATATTACCATAATTCGGTATAAAATCTTTGATCTACCAAATTATTTATTAGATAATCATATAATCTCTGCTGAATAAATAGTATATTATTGTTGTATCAGCATGTAGATGAAAGTGTTTTTACAAGGTCAAAACAAGCTTCTCTCATTATATTCTTTTATAATTACAGTTTTTTTCAATCATTTATTCTTTTTCATTAACCACAAAATCTATGATCCTTCTGCTATATTCAGAGACAAGAAAGGCGATCAAAGTGAAAGAATCATTATTCGTCTTTTCTGTCTCCTCAAATTACTCACAAAACATGTGAGAAACATTGTGTGATATTCATCTTCAAACTATAAACCTCGAATTTGGTGAAAATTAAAAAAAACTTGATCTTAAGATGACATAAAAATGTCAAAAGACATTTGATGTGTACGGTAGCGTTCGTAAGCTTTCAAATGGCTTTTCACCTGCAAACATATACGTTTATATACATATATGTATATATATCTTTTTGGACAGGAAATGATGAGCAGCTGAAATGCTAAATGGACACTCTGACATTCATCCTGTCACTCAGGTTCTAAGCTTTTGGCAAATTTTAGGTTCAAATGAGTTGTTAAACGTTTATCGCACTCATGACGATTGACATATGTGTGATCGAGATAGCCTGTAATGAAAAATCTTGAAGCTCTTGCATATGTTTCATTGTTTTATTTTGAAAGAGTTGATGACAGAAGAGCTTAATGACCTTTGAAAGCAGACGATCCAACATACGTTGACACGTGAAAGCCGAATGTTTGAAACCAGAGTTGTAAACGTTGATGACATCGGTACAACGGTTGTCAGACGTGAGAAGGATGAATGGCTTAAGCAAATCAGTCAACTCAATCTTATGAATCATGCAAAAAAAGATTTTCCTTCTTTCTTCTTTCCAAATTACATCTTCACCTGTCGATATGTGAGAAGAACTCTTAGTGACATTTTAATTTTTTCCCTTTTTTGAGTACTATAATGATCAGGTAAAGTGACATCTAGATGAGAATGGAAACGATTTCTAATTAAATCAAAGTATTCTCATTTGATGCTACGATGAGAGAAGAGTTAACTCATACTGACATTTGAATATGCAAATTAGGAGCAAATAAAATGTTTTTTTTCCTGCCGATCCCTCTATAACCCTTTACAACTGTATATACCTGAACGTATATTAATTTTATTATCGGTAAATATAAAAAGGAGGAGAAAAAAAAGGAGGAAAAGGAGAAAAGATAGTAAATTGCTCCTTCTTCTGTACACGTGATCATAAAATTGTCTGACGGATGCTTTGTGAGTGCTCGTAAATCTGAAATTAAGATTGTTAAAGGTTATAGTGAGAAAAGTAGATTAATGAACAATAAAACAGATAGGAGAGACGAATAAAACGAAATGACTGCAAGAAAAAGTAATGAAAATACTTTATTTGAGTGAATGATTACAAAATGCAACCGAACTATGCCTCCTCAACGAATTGATTTGAAATCTTATGCTGTACATAGTATACGTGAGATTAACACGTCAAATCGTATATGCAAATTAGGTCTGATTTTAAAATAACTTCAAAAATCTCATTTGACTTTCACATAAATTTATTTTTTTCTTTATTTTCACTTCATGCCAACATTGAGTGGTGACAGATAGATGAATGGCCTCCGAATCCACGACAGCAAAACGAAGAAAAAACATAAACGAAAGATTTACTGTTTTTCTGCTCAAACGCAACCGACAGTTGCAGTTCATGTCGTAAATTGTATTTCTGTCCTCTTTCTACTTTATCTTATTGGTATTTATTGAGAAAAATGCTGTTTGTATGTTATTGAGAAAGGAAGGCTGTATGATCATAGAAATTTTCTTTTTCAAATCGTTGATTATCCCATAAAATGAATAAGATATTATGAAATAGCCTGTTAACTATCAGAT